CCCCTATATATATATATATATATATATATATTTGAAACCTTGTTACATCTTATATGATTCTTTTATGTCTTGAGAAATCATAATGAAGTTTTTTATTTTTATTTATTTATTTATTTTTATATTTTTAAATATCTATGTTAAATATAGTACATATTTTGTAAAGTAATTATACATTATTAGTTAGTTTGTATCTAGCTAATAATGAGTCTTAGTACAGTTTCCGTTACCTATTATTTAGCCTATGATTAGTCAATGAAAATCTTTTGTATCCTAATTTATAGCTTAGGCCTTAGGATTAGGATAGTTGTGCGGCATATATTCGGCTATTGTAAATGGAAAAGACAACCAATCACATTCTTTAGTTATTTTTTATAACATAATATTTACCAATCTATTTTAGTCTAAGATAACTAGAGATAAATTTTGTCGCAAGTTCATCCTTGATTTACGTTAATTATAAAGTATACACTGAATTTTTTTTAATTTTTTTTTTTCTGAATGGTTATACACTGTTTTTTTTTTTTTTTCTTTTGAACGGTTACAAATTTACAATCCCTAAATAATACTCTGTAACGCCTATTTAATTTCATTTTTTTTTAGATAATAAATAAATAAACAAACCCTCTCTAATTTCATTTTTCAAATAAATAAATAAATAAGTGGAACACTTAAAATCACTACACTTCATTCAGTTTTTTTTTTTTTTTTTTTTTTTTTTTATCTAATATTCATCTGCAATGAACCTAAAATCACGCCCATCTTCAATAATGACGATGTAGTTTATGAATTAATGTTGGAAGAATAATGAAGGTTAAGGTTGAAAATGAAGTGAACCATTGAAGAAGGTTGAAACTAGAAACAATTAATTTCGAACTATAAAAAAAATCTGTAATCAAATGAATATTTTTACAGATAATTAAATTTGATTACAAACTCCTAAATTAAAAAAAAGGAGCATAAATGTGATGATTATACATTAATCTTATTAATTTCATATAAATTTTGGTAATTTATGGTTGGGTTTTGGATGAAGTGCGCCATTGCAGTGGTTGAATTTATCAAAATGGGATGAATCTATTAAAATGGGGATGAACTGATGAAGCTATACAAATGTTGTTTGTGTTTTTAATATAAATTGGGTGAATTTTGATCGTGCTATAATTTATATGGATGAATGTTTATAATGTTATAATTTGAAGGGGGAAAAAAAAATTACCCCATAAAAGAAAGTAAAACAAACAGAACTTTGCTTACCGGTCATGATGTGTCATGACATTTTATGAGGTGTAAAATTAATTTTTTTTTTTAAAAAAATTATAATGATAAACGTCTAAGATTAAGTAATAATAAAAATTAACGGTTCAGATTTAATATCTTACCGTAGTCGACCGTAGTCGACGACTACAATAGAAGCTTCGTGAAGTATTGTTAAATAACAATAATGAAGTGACTTTAAACAAACATATATAGTCCAATATTATTTTTGTCTTAATATTGCACTCATATAATGAAATAAATACCTTAATGCTCTGATCAAATTAAAACTAATAATTCAAATGTGCACATATACAACTACAATGATTTTAAAAAATTTACTTAAGCCCAACAAATCTTTAGGTTGGAGATTCATTATTAAGTGGTTCATATGATCTTAAATATGGGAAAGAACTCAAATCATAAAATATAACAATAATATCATGCACGTATATTTATATCTTCATCTCAAAATACAATATTTTATGTTAGATAAGCCAAAGCCAGAAGATGTGGTGTTGCTCTCAAGCTTCACCAACCGCCTTGTGAAAACTAAAAATGTATTTACTATTGTCATTAGTTGGCCAAGTTAGCAAATAATTTATCTCAAGTCTAGTACGTTAAATTAATTTATACAATAACAACTGCAATGCTAATTAATAATTACAACATCGGACAAATATTACAATGGCTATATTGTAGCCATTGTAATTTTTATATCATTATCATATATATGTCAGTATTTAATTAACATCATTCATTGAATTGACTAGACAACTAAGTTTTTTTGTCATAATTAAATCAAATAATTATTTGCTGTTAAACTCAAGGCAATATTGGAGGAAACGGCTTGCTGTTCATATTGATATCAATCATATATATATATATATATATATATATATATATATATATATATATATATATATATATATATATATATATATACTCAATATAATAGAATACCTAACTTGCCTAAAACTCCTAAACAAGATAAACTTTTCAAATATACAATATAAATATAAATAACCAACCAAACTCTAATACTCCCCCTCAAGTTAATTGGAGCATGTAAATCACGAATGCCCAACTTGCGTAAGAGGAAACCAAACTATTGACGTCCAAGAGTCTTGGTGAGAATGTCTGCCAACTGATGACCTGTCGAAACATAAGAGGTAGAAGTATCACCGTTTATCAACTCATCATGAACAAAGTGACAATCCACCTCAATATTCTTCGTATGTTCATGAATCACCGGATTCTTAGCTATATGCAGGGCTGACTAATTATCACAAAACAACTATGCATGCTTAACACCAAGAACAAACAACAACTATTTCAGTCATTTCAACTCACGAGTAGTGAGAGCCATAGACCTATATTCGGCTCCAGACGAGGATGTGGCTACAGTAGGTTGTTTCTTAATCTTCCAAGAAACGAGAGAACGACCTAAGAAAAAAAATAACCAGACAAGGAATGCCGAGTCAATGGACACGCTGCTCAATCACTATCACAAAACACCATCAAGCGTAAATCCTTCATAGGTCGCAACAAATCAAGAGAGAGAGTTCAAATTACCCCATTTACCATGAATTTACCTTAAAAAATTAAAGGTCATATATAACATAAATCAAAACTTCATCCACCAATTTCACCATTAATCATCTGTTATATACGGGGTACCTTTTCTCCATGATTTGTAATCTAATGTTCCGGTGTATAGTTATTTCATATTTGCTTAGCAGTCATTTGAAAAATGACTATTATATTATTTTAATGATATACAATATGATTGGTTTATTTTTTATAAAATGGCCACAATTAGTCTTATACTTCTTTTTTTTTTGTTGACACATTTCTTTGTTCACGTTTGTCAATGTACAAATTAAACCACTAATATCTTTAATTACTGATAAACAAAAATTATAAAAAGTTGATATTTTGAAAATATATTTTGTGACGAATCTAACAAGATTCTACATTACTATATTTTTTATCATATAAAACACAAAACACGGTCAAAGGTGAGTGTGTGAATAGTTTTAAAGTCAAAACGTGTCAACTAATAAAAAACTGATGTAGTAATGTCTACAATGTATACATAAATTTTGAACATTTTTTTTCTCTTTTGACAAGAATTTCGAACATTTTAATCCAACATAAAATTTATATTTTATTTTGAGAAATCATAAAATAATATTAAAAATTACATAAATAAAACTAAAAATTCGATAAATAAAAAAAATGTCGATAATAATATTTAATACCATTAATAAAGTAAAATATTTAATTACTTGGAAAAAATTTGTCAATTATGAATTATATAATCATTAAAACATTATGGTAGTCATATTTCAAACGACTTTTGCAAAATTTTTAATTATTACTATCATACTATGTGTATAGAAATTAGTCAATCTCTTATGAAAAAAAAAAAAATTCTTGGAAACCAACTGCCAAATTCGAAACTTATACGAAGTATGTCAAGACGTGTATTAAGTACGTCAATGGAGAAACATTTTTTTCTTAACTTTTTGTAAAAGTTGTTTTTTTTTAAGACGCTAAATGCAGTTGTTTATAAGACTTATTTTAATTTTTTGCTTTGGATTTTTGTATGTAGAGTAAACTAAATGAATGGATGAGATCTGATCTCCTCCTAAATTTAAAATAAATGGTCTAGATTAAAAGCTTATACAGAAGCAATCCCCACAATTTTTACGTAGCTCGGTAGCTGGCCATTTATTAGTCATCCCTACAACACATCACAATAATATTAGTCATCCCTACAACATCGCAATAATTATGACCTAAAATTTATTCATAAATCACAAATATCATGTCTTTGGTCAACCTATTAAAGATTTTTTTAAAAGGAAAAAAAAAAAAAAACCTTTCAGTTAATTTTAACAATATTATGAATTGAGTAAGATGAATCACCTTCCTAGTTAATTTTAACTGTTTGTTAGTCTAACTTTTTACTTAAAATATAAAACGACAATAATATGTAGGATATTTCAAATACATGTGGACGGAATATTTCTCGAGATACCTTCTTCGATGGCTAACCTGCCATTTTGTACTATTCAAGGTTTTATCATTGATTGCAAATAGTTGAATTTGTATAATTTTGCACACACCGCTAATAGTTTAGATTGTTTTAGCACAATTTTCCAAACTCTTATTAATAGTCTTAACAATTATTCCTTTTTTAACTTTAATTGTAAGAATTGTGGGCGGACATTAATTCTCCTAAAAATAGATGTTTACATATATTTCCTCATTTTATGATGCGCACATTAATTACCCCCCCCCCTAATAAAATAAAAGGCAGAAAGTGTGTGAGAAAATATCTAAATGCAGCGTGTTTTTATTAAGTAGTATTTTTTTTTGTCAAAAAACTACATTTTAATATTATATTTAACTCATCTTATGGTCCGATTCCACCCAAACTCACTACTACAGAGTCTTCATTTCCCACTCACATTTATTATTTTTCAATAAATTATTAATTTTATTATCTTTCTTTTTTAATTAATTTTTTTATAATTCAACTACTCCACTTATCTTTGACTTTGTTAAAGTCAATTAAAATAACTAAACTGATGTATTTGTAAAAATAAAAAATAAAAAATTCTATGCCCCAAGTTTCTTATATGATATACTAGTTTATAAATCTCATCTATATTCCTTTCCATTCAATTCATTCATAATCAATTAAAACTTCACTTTTCTTTAGCTTGTAATCAATAATGGAATTTCCCATTGTCAAGCGCATCAACGAATGCTTCATCAAACCAAAGTTAGAAGAAAATTTCAACAAACCATATTTCTTAACTTCATGGGATTTAAGGTTACTTTCTATTCATTACAATCAAAAAGGTATTTTATTCACTAAACCTTCACCAAAAGATAATGAGTCTTTCTCATTTGATAACCTTTTAGAGAGTCTTAAAGACTCTCTTGCTCTCACCCTTGTCTATTTCTATCCCTTAGCCGGTCAGCTCGCCACACGAATCGACAAAGACCAACAAAAATGTGTGGTCTTCGTCGATTGTAACAAGGGTCCTGGAGCTCAATTCCTCCATGCTACCCTCGATATGACCGTGTCCGATATACTCTCACCTACCTACATCCCTAAGGTTGTACATTCGTTATTTGACCACTGCTTTCCGGCTTTATTTACTGTTACACTTTCTTAAACTACCAATTCGGGAGTATCGCTTGCAGCGCCTAGGTCGGGACTGACGGGGCTCGAACCCGCAGCTTCCGCCTTGGTTAACTTAGATGGACGGTCTAGACCATTGTTATCGATCCAAATTACCGAGTTGGTAGACGGTGTATTTATAGGCTGCTCCGTGAATCATGCAATTGTTGATGGAACCTCATTTTGGCATTTTTGGGAGGTGTGATCCGACATACACAACGCGAATTCAAGGCCGATTTCTACATCACGCCCACCGTTACTAATAGGCAAAGATTCACCTCTTTTGCTATCTTTAAACAGTAACGAACTCGACGATTTTGTAGTTCGTTACAAACCTCCATCCGAGTTGATGGAGAGAATGTTTCATTTCACATCCGAGTCAATGAAGAGCCTAAAAGCGAAGGCCAACAAAGATAATGTTAACAACGATGTTATCATCTCGTCTTTTCAAGCATTAGCCGCGCTTATTTGGCGTGCAATAGTTCGAGCTTATGAACTAGCACCAAATGAGGTGACTAATTGTCACCTAGCAATAAATGTTAGAAAAAGGCTAGATCCGCCACTGCCTGATGATTATTTTGGGAACGCGCTAAGTAACATCATGACTAGTACAACAGCCGGTGACCTGCTTAGCCAAAGTTTGGGGTTGGCAGGAACATTGTTGAATGAGAGTATAAAAAAATACACCGATGGGGCTGTTGTTTCGGACGACCACTGGGCGGAGGCTCCGTATTTTATTGATCTTAGTACATTTTCAGATTTGAGAAGTGTAAGGTTTGGAAGCTCGCCAAGATTTGAAATATATAGTAACGAGTTTAAGGGTCTAGGGAGACCAGTCGCAGTTAGGAGTGGTAATGGGAATAAATTTGTAGGGAAAGTGAATACTTACCCTGGATGTGAAGGTGGTGGAAGTGTTGATTTTGAGATTTGTCTATTACCTCAACAAATGGCTATTCTTGAATCTGACCCTGAGTTCATGGATTTTGTTTCTCTTGCTATCTAAAACCACAATTTCTTTTTTTTTTTTGTTGTGTTAAGGGAAGTATTTATCTATCTTCCTATGTGTTTCTCATGTTGTGGTTAGCTTATTATTTGTACGGAGTACATTTTAAAAATAAATCGCTATTATACATGAATATAAATAAGAATTACGTATTTTGTAATTTTTAATTTTCATCAAAATTATGATATAGTATTTGTTCAACGTTGTCTAATTCATAGTTCAATGTAGGAGGTCATTTATTAGTGTGCTATGTAAAATTGTTTCAATTTCGTAACATAAATTGATAGGTTTTAGTTGTAATGTAGAACCTTTCAATATTATATTTCAAAAATGTTAAGGGGAAAATTTGCAAATTACTACCGCAAGTTAATACCACTTTGTAAATTACTACCTCAAATTAAAAAAGTTGTGAATTACTACCGCAAAAAATTTTAAGATGATGCGATTACTACCAAACCCCCATTAAACCCAACTATGACGTCATTATATCACTTTAACCCATGGTTAAAGCTCTTAACCATGGTCAAACATGGGTTAAAGTCCTTAACCATAACGTCATTATATCCCTAACCCATTTTCTTTTTTATTGGGGGGGGGGAGGGGTTGGTTAAGGCCCTTAACCATGGTCAAACATGGGTTAAAGGGATATAATGACGTCATAGTTGGGTTTAATAGGGGTTTGGTAGTAATCGCAAAATCTTATAAATTTTTGCGGTAGTAATTCACAACTTTTTAAATTTGCGGTAGTAATTTACAAAGTGGTATTAACTTGCGGTAGTAATTGAAAAATTATCCATGTAAAATATGATAACTCTATAAAAAAAATGACATCATCATTGCATTTAGGCGGGAAAATTTTTATTGCTGAGAAAGCGACACGTGAGCAATGGTGACGTCAGCAACTTCTGTTTTAATAATAGTTAATAGAATAGATGCGGGGACTGCCTAGTTTCTTTTCGATGGCACAATGGTAAATTACATCAATAACTTTAATATTTTATATTTTTTCCGCTATACTTTTTTTTGGAAACGGGTTTTTTGTTGTATTCCTTCATCTTTGATGTCTACCTCCATCATTGAAATTCCAAAATCGCCATTGTAACTAGTTTCCTCCTCCATCTACTAAGGCTTTCCTCCTCCATTAGAGCTAGCAGCACATAAATCACCATCTTTACCACTGAATTTCCGAACTAAACGTAAAGCCTAAGAAAAAAAAAGAGAAATTAGGGCATGGTTAACCCAAAACGGAAAAGATTATCGTCATCCTCCATTGAAACTATTTTCCAAGCTTTGATTACTTCGCAGAATCTGCTTCCTCCTCCATTTAAGCTATGAATATCTCTATTGAAGTTCTACCTTCTTCTTTCATTCTTCTACAAAGTTACAATATTAACCCAACTTATATGTCGAAACTACAAATTTACCGTCTTGAAATACAATCCTGAGTATTAATTAGGAAAAACTTGTGAAGAAGGTCCTTTTAACTAGACCTTTTTGTGACAAAGGCCCTTTTATAAAAAAAAAAGGTGGCACAAAAGCTCCTTATATCATGTTTGGGTTGTGAGGAGGGTCCTTTGACCATTTCCCGACGTTGACTTTTTATTTTCCTGCCAAAAAAAGCCACGTGTAAAGCACGTGAATTATTAGGTTTCCTTTTTCCCCTGTTTTCTCTTATTGTGGGGATGATTAGCCTCGAATTACTTTGAATAGCCTTCAATTTTAATTTATGGGATTACAATTGAAGTTTTAGTGTTAATTGTTTTCCACTACTAGAAAATAGCTAAATTCCGTCAAAAACACCCCTTTTTTCGTCGGAAAACCCGTTTCCGACGGAATTTCCGTCGGAAGCGGTTGTCGAAAAAGGTGTATTAGGAAAATAGGTGTTTCCCGTCGGAAATTCCGTTGGAACCGGTTTTCCGACGGAAATTTCTGTCGGACGACAAATTCTGGCCCAGGGGAAGTCCGTCGGAAAATTCAATTAAAAAAACAAAAAAAAAACTGCCCCCCCCCCCCCCACTCGGCCACTCTACAACCACTAGCCCACACTCAGAAACACAAGACCCCACCTACAACCACCAGCCTCCACCCAGAACCACCAGCCCCAACACCACCGACACTACCACACCAAAAATGAACCCCAAAACACGAAAATCAATCCCAAAATCACGAAAATCAATCCCAAAAACACAAAACACCAAAAATACGAAAATTAAATTCAGTAGATTAAACACTAAAAAATAAAAATTAAACCCAAAAACTCGAAAGTCAACCCCAACAAAACAGAAATCCCCCAAAAAAATCGAAAAATAACACTAAAAATCGAAAATTAGCACAAAAATATTAAAATTAACAACAAAATCGAAAAAAAAATACCACACAATATAAAATCAAAACCTGTAGATCTACATATTTAAACATAATTTTGTTTAAAAAAACGATAATTTTATTCAAAGATATATATAAATATACAATTATCTAATAAAATTCATAAATTAACATAACAATTACAAAACAATTAACTAGATCTACAATCTAACCTAAATTAAAACTAGATCCACAAAACAAAAACCTTGGGAGTGGTAGGCCCGGGACGGTGGTCGTCGAAGGCTTTGTTGTTGTTGTGCCGTTGTTGGTGGTGATTGACATCGGTGGTCATCGTAGGCTTTGTTGTTGTAGCGTTAGTTGTATTTATTATTCCGTTGGTGCTTGATGTTAATGGAGAAAGGTGAAAACGAAGAGGGAGAGAGAGAAAGGAGAAATAAAACAAAAGAAATAAGATGTAGAAGGAGAAGAAGACCGAGAAGAAGAGAAGAGGAGAGGATGAAAGAGAAGACAGAATAAAAGAGAAGAGGAGAGGAGAGGGAAAGTGAAGGGAAAGGGGAAGAGAAGTGGCGGAATGTTGGGGGGTTAGTTGTTTAGGGTTCTGAATTTTTTTATTTTTTTAAAAAATTAGTTTCCGACGGATATAAATTCCGTCGGAAATTTAATTTTTCGACAGAAAAATCCGTCGGAAAGGACATATTTTCCGACGGATTAATTTTCCGTCAGAAAATTTTCGAATTCGTCGGAAATATACGACGGAAATAAAATCCGTCGGAAATATTGATTTTCCGATGAATTTTTAGGTCCGTCGGAACCATTCCGTCGGTATTCGACCTGATTCTTGTAGTGTTCAGAAATTAGGGTTTAATAAGGGGAAAAAAGGGAAAAAGGGGAAAACGAGGGAAAAAAGGAGGGAGGAAAAAGGGAACTTAGATGTGACTTTTTTTGGCCGGAAAATAAAAAAGTCAACGCGCGAAAAATGGTCAAAGGAACCTCCTCATAATCTAAACATGATATAAAAACCTTTTGTGCCACCTTTTTTATAAAAGGGCCTTTGTCACAAAAAGGTCTACTTAAAAGGGTCTTCCTCACAAATTTTCCTATTAATTAGTATGAAAAGGAAGAATTGAAGTAGGTAAAGACAGACAGCAAAAACACTGAGAACAAGACCAAAACCATGATGAGCAAGATTGCATGGACATGCAAATCTAGAAAGAAAATCATTGAGTACCCCACAAATTAAACTGGACAAATAATTTTGTTATCAATAATCAAGCAATAAAATAATCTTGTCATAAATTGACTTATTAATTTATTTGTCCAATTATATTAGCAGAAATATCATTAGAATTTCAATATATAAAAAGTTGTGGATGACTTGCTTTATCCTGTGAAATATCTCTATCTAGCATTCATACTACAATTCATCCCCTCTTATAGTGTCCGTCCATCAAGCATGACAAGTTCTTTTGTCTCTCTTCTACTTGCCACTATCGTGACTCATCGTCTAACTACTGAAGTTTACAATTTTTGACAATGCCATACACTTTAACATGTGCAATTCATGCCAACAATCCTGTCTACTAGAAAAATCAATCACATTTGAGATTCTATTAAATCACCTAACTTATTCAACAACTTAAGCTGGTTGAAATCAATGATTGGTTAACAATCTTTATATATTTTATGATGCCTTCTCAAAATAAGAGTCCATTAAATTTGAAGTTCGGATGTAGCATGCATGTGCCCACTATACTCAATACTTATTATTCCATTTTGAAAGGAGCAGCGGATGAAATTCGAACTTGTAATCTTTGAGTCACGGTGGTTGCAAACTTGTGACACCATATTAATGGACCAACTCAATCGAAAATTTGTACAGATGGCTAAAATCCAGAATTGGTTTGTATATATACTATCATATTCTTCTCTTCAAATCTAAAATGTAGGGCATGCATATGTACGTCAAAGATATGTCTAACACTCCCTTTGTCAATTAACATTAATTATACATACGCGTGAGATCAACCATGAATATTTTGACGTTGGAAAACTGTTTATAAAAACTCGGTATTAAAAAAAATATATGCCATCTAATTTACCCCCTTATTTTACTTTTAAAAAAAATAAGAAAAAAAATTGTGTATAAGAAGACGTTCCAAATTTCTCATGTATTTTACTTTTTAAAAAATGCCAGCAAAATAGCATCAAACTCTTAGCTTACATGATGATCTTCATTTCAAAATAAAAAGGTTACCTGTAGCATTTGCCATGGTGTTCATGGCAATTGGATTTATAGTCATGCAAATATGCAATTAGTGTTAAAGAGTTGGTATGATCGTTGCATTTTTGATTTATTGTAAATATGTACTCTCTCTATTTTTAAATACTTGCTTCATTTTTTTTTTATGCGGAGTTTTATGAGAAATTGGAGAAAATAATAAAATATGGAGGTAGAAATAGGTGGAAGAATAAAAATTAGTAAAAAAAAAAACAAATATAGTTGTAAGAATTGGAGGAGAGACAATATGATGAAAAAAAAAATATGAATTATGTTGGGTGATTGGGTCAATTAGTTGAGAGAATTGAATTAAATATTATAAAAGTTTTTTAAATAAGAAAATGAAGTAAGTATTTAAAAATGAAAGTATTTAAAAATGGAATTATTTTTAAATAATTATTTAAAAATGGAATTATTTAAAAACGGGTTAAAATGAAAAAATGAAGTAAGTATTTAAAAACGGGTTAAAATGAAAAATAAAATAAGTATTTAAAATGGAATGAGTATTGAATTCAATTAAATATTATAAAAGTTTTTAAATAAGAAAATGAAGTAAGTATTTAAAAACGGTTTAAAATGAAAAATAAAATTAGTATTTAAAAATGGAATGAGTAATTTGACTTATGTTGGGAGTTGCAATAAACTATTTCAATTATTAATTATTCTGGTGGAAGTTGCAATAAAGTATTTCAATTATTCTGGTGGAAGTTGCAATAAAGTATTTCAATTATTCATTATGTTGGGAGTTGCAATAAAGTATTTCAATTATTAATTATTCTGGTGGAAGTTGCAATAAAGTATATCAACTATTCTGGTGGAAGTTGCAATAAAGTATTTCAATTATTAATTATATTAATGACAATAATAATCATACTTTAAACAAAAATGTTTCTTTCAAAAAGTGACGATAACAAAAATTGGCTCTTGGGTTTATTTGTCTTCACATTGCATACGTATATTGAAATCAAATAGCATAATCAACGGTCCAAATTAAAACAAATAATGTGCACATATGCGTAGAGGTAACCTCACCCGCTCCGATCCGAAACCGATTTGAAAAATATTCGATTCAGATTTGGACTCAGTTCGCGTGAACATAATAATTTTGTATGAATTAACTTTAAATATTGATCCGACCCGACCATATCAGACTCAATCCGATAATTCGAATTGACAGCCCTACGTACGCGATTACAATGACTTAAATATTGCACTTGAACTTGACAAATCCTTAGATTGGATTCGTTGGAGGTTCATTTTATAGTGAGATTCATGTGATCTCAAATATGGGAAAAAAGAGTCAAATCACATAATATATAATTAAGAATAAACCAAATTAAAGGTATGTAAAAGATTTGATCAAATCATATTTATTGATATTGTTTATAGATGGCAATCCCTTGATTTACTCTTTAGATTGATAGTCAAAGATATCCCTTATTCTTAGCTAATGTTCTTAGACAAGTACTCTAATGTATCTAATCGTATTATATTGCTTACTCATGTACTATATATACTTACGAAATCACATCAATATAATTAAACTTTCCATCATTCTCTTTCTCATAACTCTATCATGGTATCAGAGCTTTTGATCCATCTTTTCTTGTTTCCGTTATAACCATGGCTACACTATCAAAACCTTTTGCCGATGCCGACAAATGATAGTAACCATATTCGTGCTCCCTTTCCTCTCGGAAAGCTTCAAACCCAAATCAAATTTCCGCTCAACTCTTTTAGCACCCCGTATTTCATATACTAAGAGAGATGCTAATTATCTTTCTTTTTTTTCCTGCGATATCTTTCTTTTTTTTCCTGCGAATCTCTTATGGAAAAACAATCCCTTTTCGACACCTTATAATTTGTCTACCAAGTGTTGCCGAACATAAACTCAATTCTCCAACCCCCCCCCCATGGAGAAACAATCCCCTTTTGGCCTACGTAGTTTATCTACCAAGTGTTGCCAAATATAAACTCACTTCTCCAAACTTTTATGGAGATTCTCAAACTCTTTTATTTTAATGATACTAAATGTAATTCTTCTCCTATAAACATGATCAAAATTTCACCCTTCCTCTATATCTCACTTCCCCTCTTCCCCTCCTAGAGTTAAAATCATGCTTCACGTATGCAATTCCTCTTCTTTAAAAAATAAAAAACAAAAAATCTCTTTTAACTCCCAATTTGGTATGTACAACTCTCAATTGAAGAACCACCAACATCTTGGAGTGACAATCAACAATCAAGAAAAACATTCATTTTACAAGATTGTATTTTCCCTTTGGCCGTCCATCTTGCGGGGGCGTGTAAAGGATTAGATCAAATCATATTTATTGATATTGTTTATAGTTAGCAATCCCTTGATTTACTCTTTAGATTGATAGTCAAAGATATCCCTTATTCTTAGCTAATGTTCCTAGACAAGTACTCTAATGTACCTAGTCGTATTATATTGCTTACTCATGTACTATATATACCCATGGAATCACATCAATATAATTAAGCTTTCCAACATTCTCTTTCTCATAACTCTATCAAGGTAGGCAAGAGGAGAGATTGTTATACACATCTGAGTGTACGGTATACTCATGAGCATTTTGTTCTCATTTTCATAATTATTTTTTATTTAATCATTAAATAAAAAGAATATAAACTAAATCTACGTTAGTTTGATGCACGGTACATCCGGATATGTATAAATATTTCAAGGCAAGAGATGTTGTGTCTCCTGCAGCCTCGCCCCGTGAAATTAAAATATCCTTACCACCGTCATTGATCAATCAAATTAATTGTAATTATTACATTAATTAAAACTAATATTATTACATTAATTCTCATAACTTGCACATTAAATTTAAAAGGAAAAATAGAATAAAAAAATCCAACATTTGGCCGATCTGACAATAAAAATCCAACCTTTCAGTAATCTCAAAAAAATCCAACCTTTGCACCGCACCTTCTTTGACAGGTCCATTACCTGTTAATGACCGTTTTTTGTAAGTTATGTGTCACGTGTCAGTCGTTAATTGGTCAATTATTTTTTTAATCATTAAAAAACAAAAAAAAACAAAACAGAAAAAAAAAACCACCAGCCACCTCCCTCACTCCCCGGAAACTTCCCCCCACCCTAACCGGCCTCACCATCGAGGTCGTCGGATTCCGGCGATCTCCCCCCACCCCTTGCCGCAACCTCCCCAACCACCAAAACCCCCTACGATCTAAACCCTAACCACCACATCAAACACCCTATTCGACCCTCCCAAACCAGCCCGACCCCTCCCCAAACCTCCCCACCGCCCGCCGACCATAAATCAACAACCCTTGACCCGTTTCCACCCCTCCCCAGCCTAAACCCGACCCCGGTTTTCTAATACCCTTGACCCGTTTTTGGGGTTGTGGGTTTGATTTTGGGGTTATGGGTTTGAGTTCAGGGTTCTGGGTTTTGGGTTTTGGGTTGTAGGTTTGAGTTTGGGTTGTGGGTTTTGGGGTTCTAGGTTTAATTTGAGTTCGGGGTTGTGGGTTCTAGGTTTTGGGGTTGTAGTGGTGGGTGGTGTCGTGGTACTAGGTGGTGGTGTTAGGTGGTTTCGTGGTGCTAGATGGTGGTGTTGGGTGGTTTCGTGGTGCTAAGGTGGTGGTGATAGGTTGTTCGTGAATTCATGGTGTTGGTGTAGAGAGGTGGAGGAGGAGGAAGAGGGTTTGGGTAGGGTGGGGTAAGTGGTGGTGGTGTAGAGAGGAGAGAGAAAGAGGAGGAGTGAGAAGGAAATTAAAAAAAAAAAAAAAAAATTAATCGTTTTAACAAGTTAAAGGTCAAATGGACCTGTCTAAAAAGGTGGGGTGCAAAGGTTGAATTTTTTTGAGATTAATAGAAGGTTGGATTTTTATTGTCAGACCGGCCAAAGTTTGGATTTTTAGATTCCATTTTTCCAATTTAAAAAAACAATTTAAATGTACATTATGGAAACTTTCCTTATATTAAGCAATCAATTACACAAATATTAAAAAATTCAACGCTTTTTGGGTGCAGTTGATCATACCATGTAGGCCGATGTGGCCACTTAACAAGAACAAAATAAGAAATTAATATTTTTACTAAAAAATGTTCTTATACAAAATAACAATTCACATATGAACAAATTATTAATATTTTTACTAATATATTAAAAGGTGTTACTAAAAACGTCTCTGTGCCACATAAACCACGCCACATCACCTACTCCATCCCTCATTATGCCACATCATCACTATTCAATCAAACTTAGTCATTATGCCACGTCATCTAATATTGCTTTACATAAAAGATGATTATAAAGGGAATCGAACACACAACCTCTTACGAGAAGGATGGTTATTTATCCTCTAAACCAATTATCAACTATGTTATAAAATGAAAATAAATGTATATAATTCATAATTAAAAAAATTATAAACATTAAATACATATTATCACAAGGAATAATTAAAGTAGCAACCCGGTGCAACACACGGGCTACACATTAGTTTTTACTAAAACAAAAAGGTCGATCGTTTAATTATACTTGAATATAAGAAATTATTGCAACATAAATAACAAATTGTACATATTATAATCTACTCCAATCTTATAGGAGTAATTAATGGTTTGTTAGAAAAGAAGGCTTCCAAGTTTGCTACAACAATGTCTTCGACAGCCTTAAAGGATTGTGGAGTAAAGGCCGCTCGATGAGGGGATAAGACTACATTGTCTAAACCGAATAGCTCTTTCGAAATATTAGGCTCGTATTCGAACACATCAAGACCAGCCCCTCCAATTTCGCCTTCCACCAAAGATTGCACCAATTCATTTTCGTTGATTAGAGCACCTCGGCCAACATTAATGACATATCCATCCTTTCCTAAAGCAGTCAATACCTTCTTGTCGATTATATGGTGAGTTTGATCGGTTAACGAGCAACAAAGGATGAGAATGTCACTGTCGAGGGCCAAGTCATAGACATTGGCATAGTATGGAAATGAAACAGAGGATTTCTTCTGCCTAGAGTTGTATGCAATAGTACAACCAAATGGTATAAGTCGGTTTGCAACAAATGTACCTATGCTTCCAAGGCCGACTATGCCTATTCGCTTTCCACGCATCTGCCATTGACATTAACATACTTAACACAAAGTATCAAAGTACCTACATACAGATGTGATACAACCAAGAAACTTGATCCTTGAGATTTTTTTTTTTTTTTTTTTTTTAAAGAAGTCCTAAAGGACACTAAATTTTATTAATAAAAAAAAGTCATACGGCATCTACAATTGACAATGAACAATAATGAAAACGAATTTACAAAAATCAATCAAGAATTAATCGGGGAAGGAATAAGAATCCAAATACATAAATAATAAGAATCCAAATCAAACAAGAATTGATCCTTGAGAATTTGTAATATAAGGCATCACGAATTTTTGAAAAAATACATTGTGATTTGTGGGGTTCATATAGACATCCCTCTTCTTGTGGTGCTCGATATTTTTTTACTATTGTGGATGATTTTTCTCGTGCCGTTTGGATTTATTAGCTTATTGATAAAACAGAGGTGTTTCGTATGTTCATGTCATTTGTTGCAATGGTAGATAGACAATTCTCTCAAACAATTAAAATAGTCCAAAGTGATAATGGAACTGAGTTCAATTGTTTGACCGATTTCTTTAATGCATCGGGAATTTTGTTTCAAACTTCTTGTGTAGGAACTCCTCAACAAAATGGGAGGGTCGAGCGTAAACACAAACACATTTTGAATGTAGGGAGAGCGTTGTGATTTCAAGCTAACTTACCTATTTATTTTTAGGGGGAAAGTGTTCTTGCCGCTGCTCATTTAATAAATCGAACCCCCTCTCCCTTATTGCAAAATAAAACACCCTATGAAATTTTGTTTGGCACACCTCCCACTTATAATACTATTCGCACATTTGGTTGTTTATGCTTCGCTCATAAACAAAACACAAAAGGGGATAAATTTGCTAGTAGGAGTAGAAAATGTATATTTGTTGGATATCCTTTTGGAAAGAAAGGATGGAGGTTATTTGATCTCTATATGAAAAATTTCTTTGTGTCGCGTGATGTTAAGTTCTTTGAAGATGTGTTCCCTTTTGATGATCCGAAATCTACCAATATTGATCCTCCTAGCATTGTTCCTATACATGATGTTATAGATCCTGATTTTGACGATTGTGTTGCTGAAAATAATTTTGGGGAACATAATGAGGCTGCTGTAGAGGGGGGATCGGAGGCTGCCCAGCCACCCAAGCAGTCCACGCAGCAACATCAAGCTGCAGGCTGCCACGAACAAGCAGAACAGTCCGCAGGCAGCCCGCGGCAGATGGCTGGAGACCACAGGATGGCCACAGACTCTCCTGAAGTGCTGCGGAAGCATGCTGATTCAGCTCAGCACCATGAGCATTCTGCTGGCAGCTTGCAGGAATTTGCCACAGGCAGCGCAGAAGGCTCGGTGACCACTATTTCGCGACAAATAAATGAGAAAAATACTCAAGACGAGTTAGGCAGAGGCATGAGAGAAAAATTTCCTTCAGTCAAGTTGCGAGATTATGTTACACAATATTGACTCATAGTCCATCTCCATCCCCTAATACATCGTCTCAACGGCATCCCTCAGGTACGCCCTATCCTATAGCACATTACATAAATTGTGACAATTTTTCTATCAATTACCGGAACTTTCTTGCAGCCATAACTTCCGGACAAGAACCAAAGTCCTTTAAAGAGGCAATGAAGCATGCAGGTTGGAGGGAGTCAATGAAAAATGAAATATAGGCTCTTGAGAAAAATGGTACTTGGACCATGGAAACTCTTCCACCCGGAAAGCGTGCTCTTGGTAGTCAATGGGTGTAGCGGATCAAATATAATTCAGATGGAACCATTGAGAGACTGAAATCCAGATTGGTGATCTTCGGAAATTATCAAAAAGAAGGCATTGACTATAAAGAAACCTTTGCTCCAGTTGCCAAGATGGTCACAGTTCGAGCTTTCCTTGCTATTGCGGCTTCTAAAAATTGGGAACTCCATCGAATGGATGTCCACAATGCTTTCTTACACGGTGATCTCGATGAGGAAGTATACATGAAACTCCCTCTGGGTTTTGAATCATCCACTCCAAACAAGATATGTCGCCTCCGCAAGTCTCTAAACAAGAACCACGGTGTTGGTTTGCTAAACTTACGTATGCCTTGAAAAAGTATGGTTTCAAGCAATCCTACTCAGATTATTCCTTGTTCACCTACACTAGAAGAAAAGTTCAAATTAATGTCCTTGTGTACGTTGACGATTTAATTATCTCTGGGAATAATTCCGCTGCATTAAGGGCTTTTAAAGCTTATCTCAGTGATTGTTTTCATATGAAAGATTTAGGTTCCCTAAAATATTTTTTGGGAATTGAAGTAGCTCGGAGCTCATCCGGCTTGTTTTTATGTCAACGAAAATATACACTAGACATTATTTCAGAAGCAGGATTGTTGGGAGCTAAACCAGCAGCGTTTCCTATGGAACAAAACCATAAACTTGGCATGGCAAATGGAGAAATTATTTCCGATCCTGAAGCTTATAGGAGACTAGTGGGAAGACTTATTTATTTAGCTGTTACACGACCAAATCTTGCTTATTCGGTCCATATTCTATCACAATTCATGCAGAAGCCGAGAATTGAGCATTGGGAGGCCGCATTGCGGGTGGTGCGCTATCTAAAAGGCACACCCGGACAAGGCATTTTGTTGCTTGCTGATAGTGAATTGACATTGCAGGGTTGGTGCGACTCTGATTGGGCCGCATGTCCTATAACTCGTAGATCATTGACGGGTTGGTTGGTATTTCTAGGAAAATCTCCGATATCTTGGAAGACCAAGAAGCAGAAAACTGTTGCCACAACTTCCTCAGAGGCAGAATATCGTTGTATGACTGCTGCTACTTGTGAACTAAAATGGTTAAAGGGCCTTTTATTAAGCTTAGGTGTACAACATCCAAAGGCGATCAAGCTCTTTTGTGATAGTCAATCGGCTCTTCACATTGCTAAAAATCCAGTATTCCATGAGCGCACAAAGCATATCGAAGTTGATTGGCACTTTGTACGTGATGCGATCACCGATGGTTTAATTGATCCTTCATACATTCATACATCCTCACAGTTGGCGGATGTTTTCACCAAGGCCCTTGGAAAGTCACAGTTCAACTACTTAATCAGCAAGTTGGGCATTTTTAATCCAACCGCTCCAACTTGAGGGGGGTGTTGGGATTAGCTAAGATATTATTAGCTAAGATATTATTTGATATACTTATCTTATATTTTAGGTAGTTGCCTTGATTATAGAATATGATTTGACTTAGCTTATATTGGTGTATATCCTATAGATTTGATATCCTAGGAAATCTGATTGTACGCTGATATATATGCTCAATGAATTAATTGATGGGCAAGCTTGAAGCCCTTACCTAAAACTTTACAAGTAATTATCATAAAGTACACTAAGAATTAGAAAACGCATTTTAATTTATCCCATAATATATAAGATAAAACATAGTCAATTGGGATTTTATTTAATTTGTCTCAACTAGTAACAATAAAGAAAAAAAAGTGTATTAGCAAACATGTACCTTCAAAGTAAAAGAACAAATGATCGAAAATAGAGAAGAGTATTCAATAGTTCATCATCATAGAGTTTCACTTCTTAGAATTAACGAAGAATTGTCTGGCCGAACATATAAATATGGAAAGTCAAAATCACCTAATCAAGCAAAGTAGTAAGCAATTCACTTCCACATACTTTTAGGCATCTTATTTGTTTTTGTTAAAATAATATGTGAGGTTTGTTGAGAAATTAAAAATTATAGTGAATAGATAGTGAATGAATAATTTATTTTGAAATATGCAATGATAAAAAAAGGATAAAGATCTTGTCAAGAAAAAAAAAGGATAAAGATTAATAGAAAAAAAAAAGGGTAATATTGCAAATTTGAGATCATAAATAGAGAATATTAAAGAGTTTAGATAATTTTCTTTTTACAAAAACATGTAATAGATGAATTTCATTTTTTAAATGTTGCACTTTATACCAAAATAAAAAAAAATTAAATAAAAAGGTAATGCTATATGCAGCTCTAAGCATTTAATATATATTTTTTAGTATTAATTTGGGAATTTATCGACAATTTATGAGTAAATGTGTAGTTTTGGTTTGTGTTTGGTTAATTCTATCCATTTTTAGCTTTTTATATAAATCCCTAACGGCTGCATATATCTTTTTCCTTTCATTAAAAAATTATTTTTCTAATAATGTATCAACCAAATGAGGTGTCCTTGGATTCAATACAAAAACTAAATAAATAAAAAATAGTCTACTCACACTAGAGCCCAGAGGGAACTCCCCTGGTCGGGGCCAAACTCCGCCGCGAACATATCGGTCAGCGGCAGAAAACTTACGGAGCACATCAAGGAGCATTCCAACAGTGTAATCGGCTACATCTTCTGAGGATACGTCGCCAACATTAGCAACAAGGATCCCTCGACGGCGGCACTCTGAAAGATCAATATGGTTGTAGCCAGCGCAAGCGACCACAACAAGCTCCAAAGAGGGAAGGCAATCTAAGATGTCCTTCCTTAGTGGAGATGCCCATACGCAGACAAGAGCACGTGCACCACTACCGTTGGTTCTCAAGTAAGATTGGATAGCGGAGGAGTCAGCGCCAACGGCGTCAAAGGGCTCCAGGAGAGTGAAATTGGGGGCGAGGCGGTGGTGGAAGAAGCATGTGTAGGAGGGTATGCGGTGGATAATGAGGAGGGGTTTTTCCTTCACTTGTTGAATGTGAGAGTGGGAGATTATGGTGTCCGACATATTGTTTTTTTATTTTTTCTATTATTATTATTATTATTATTCTTAATTGAATATGTCTTGAAAGACTAATTTAAGAGTTTGGGAGATTTTAAAGGAGGAGACAGGAGAGTACATTGTTGCATGAAAATAATTTAGGCTATAAGTAGATACTCCGTATTACATTTAAATAGTAGATTCTTTAGAAATAATTATTTGATCAGAGTACACCGAATCAGGTCAGGCCTAGTCAGATTAAATGACCAAATTAGATGTTTTTTGTTATTTAGTCTTTAGTTTTGTTAAATATAATTAAGGAAATTTTGCAAAAAAAACACCTTTTATAAGCAATTTTTTGCAAGAAACCACCTTATAAATTTTTTTTGCATTGACACACCTTAATCAAAATTTTTTTTGCAAATCATTACCTTTATGTCGGATAATGAGGTTTGACCCCATTTTCCGGCGTTGACTACCCCATCTACTCACTAAACCATCTCGATCTCTCCCCAGCCCACCCACGAAACCATCGACCTCCCTCCCAAGCCCCACCCACAAACCACCCTTTCATGGCGTTGACCACCATAAAAACACCCTCTCTTATGGCGTTGACCACCCTAAACACACCCCTTTAACGACGTTGACCACCCTAAACCTTCCTCTATAGCCCTAGCCACCCTTCTCCCCTCCACTGTCAGTTTCATGGGTGCAGATGGCATAGTCAACGCCGAGAAATAGGGTTTGACTCTATTTTCCGGCATAAAGGTATGGTTTTGCAAAAAAAAATTTGATTAAGGTGTGTCTTTGCAAAAAAAAAATTAAATAAAATTATAAGGTGGTTTCTTACAAAAAAAATGCTTATAAAAGGTGGTTTTTTGTAAAATTTCCTATAATTAATTTTGTTATTATAAAAACTATAAATATATGTAGTATATGTGTATAAACTTATGCTTATGTTTTAAACTTCATTCTATATTCAAATTTTTTTTTCTGGTTATGTTCTAAAGCTTTTCCCATATTCTAAATTTTTTTTACTTATGTTCCAAATTATTTTCTATGTTCCAATTTTTTTTTAGCTTATGTTCTAAATTTGTTCCTATGTTCTAAATTATTATTTCATCTTATGTTCTAAATTTTTTCCTATATTCTAAATTATTTCTACTTGTTCCAAATTATTTTCTATGTTCTAAATTTTTTTAGCTTATGTTCTAAATTTGTTCCTATGTTCCAAATTATTTTTTCAGATTATGTTCTAAATTTTTTCCTATATTCTAAATTATTTTTTCACCTTATGTTATAAATTTGCTTCCTATGCTATAAATTAATTTTTCAACTATAAAATATTTTTTCAACTTATGTTCTAAATTATTTTTCTTATGTTCTAAATTTTTGTCTGCTGCTTATGTTCTAAATTTTTTCTACTTAAGTTCTAAATTTTTTCCTATGTTCTTAAAACGAACTCCTCAAAATTACAGAAAACTCATTATTAAAGATTCATGTTAGATGTTTAGATCAAAACTAATAAAGGGTTGAAATTGGCTCTTATCACTCTCTCTCTCTCTCTCTCATAAGAGAGAGAGAGAGAGAGCAAATAAGGTTAAAGTTTGGTTAAATTTTAAAGATCAAATCAAATCAAACCAAGTCACATCATATCAAACACAGTTTAGATCAGATCAGATTAAATGATGTCAGACAAAATTAAAATATAATAAGAAAGAGAAAATAGCTTTTTAGATTTGTAGTCAAAAGTCTTCAAAGTATAAAATATATTAAAATTAGAGAAAAAGTTAAGGATCTAATTAAAACATGATAAAATAAAATAAGGAAGCTTAAGAGTAGTACTATATACTAATCCTAAAAGATAAATTAAAGAAATAAACAGCTCAAGACACCTTCAACTCCCCGTGCCGCACGGGCGTGTCAAAATGGGCATGGGGCATTAGGTGGAAACTCTAGTCTAGGAGGGGTTACCTTTGATATATAAGGCAAGAGCGTGCCTGCCTTGTAGCCCCATTTTGTGCTTGTGCTACGCACGGAGACATGAGCGTGCTCAATTAAGACATGGGTGTGCCTCCTCTTAGACTTCAAATTCTAAGTTTTTGCCTTCATAATTAAATAGGATAAAACCCCGTGCAATAAATCCATGGTTGTTAAATTATCATTTAAAATGAATTTTTTTTCTAAGGTGACATGTAAAATAATACGAAGTATTAATTTTTTTATTTTTTTATTTTTTTTTTGATAGCCACATATAAATTGAATTTTAGAAAGTTTGGTTTATATTTTATGTAAAGCAAATGTAATCATTGAGATAAAATCTTTTCTTAAAGTAATAATTTTCTTAAAGCAACTATTATTAGAGGATTTTTTTTAGCAAGTGTTATTGGAGGAAAAATAATTAACACAATGTTGCGAAGTGTCTTTAATGATTTCGCTTTTAGTAATATGTAATAGATGAAGAAATGATGGTTGAAACTTGACTCCTTTGACTTATATCTCGAACACGGCCTTTTCAAAGAGCTCGTGAGCTATAATCAAGATGCGTAGTTTTTTAAAATCCCCAAATAATCTCGTTATCCTCGAAGAAGGGAAAAAATAAAAAAAAAAAAAAAAAACCTACTCATGAAAGCATTGCATAAACACAACTAAGAACAATTAAGCTAGATTCGAAACTAACTAAAAAGACTTCAAAAATATGTACAAAATAGAATTAATCAAGATTTACCCTATTAATCAATGCTAATACTCCATATCCATATCAAGGCCGACAAGCCAAGGGAAACTTAATTAGCTTAGGTTGCCCGCACAATGATCCCTTCCCATTATATTAGCTTAGCCGATGCATTGTTGTTCGTTGCTCACATTTACAATACCATACATATCTTATATTATTGTACAACAAGTTTGTCTACACATGCATGCATGAAAGAAAGGAGGAATACCGAACACATGTGTGCTCTCAAACACTATATATCTAGTAGACACTTAACTTTGGTCTACTGAGTCCTCGATTTCTAGTTAGACTCGTCTAATACACATATGATGAATGAGTTGAATCGATATTTGAAGTCCATAAAATAGATATTCCATGTCCAATTATTGTGTCTTTCTTTGAGATAACTTGATCTCTTAGTTCTCTAATTTAAGCAACAACCTACTTTTTCACGATCAAGTGAAGTCTAGTCTAAGCCTTACACTCATATCTTCTAAGAAGATATCAATCTATAAGCTTTGTTAATTATTGTAATAATGTGAATAGTTATTCAAAAAAAACAAAGAAATAATAATGTGAATATATTCAAGGTTTGGTAATGTCTTTCATAAATTCATGGGCCATTGAATCTAATCGCAAAGCCATTGCATTTATTTTACGGTAGTAATTTCTTGATTTGATTTTTAATTAATTATTTCTGCAAAATATTTTTGGTAGAGACAACCCTACTTCGATTTTCTTGTTCCGTGTCAAAATTAATTGATCTAAACCGTCGCCCTTAATTATTAGTCCTCATTATTGGTTCAAGTCGATCAACTACTGCCTAGACATATTATTACGTACTCGTGTAGAAAATACTCATATGATTACACAAATAGCTAGTATAAAACATGGATCACAAGATTCACGACTTCATTCAATAATTATTCTCACGTCAACACATATGATTAGTCGATTAGGTCTTCATTAGATCTAACAAATTTTATAATAATATACTACTTTCTCCGATCTATTCTTTTTTAGTTGAAATAATAATATACTACTCCGTTTTCCATCAAAAAGAACATTCTTTCTTTTTGAAACTCGACAAAATTACTACCAAATGACATCTTTAGTGCTCGAGCTTGGAGGATGATAAGATCTAATTCAACAGCAATTGTTCCATCAGGCTACAAAAATATGGCATTTCTCTATTAGTGGTTAAATATTGTAACAGCTTCAGTAATCCCAATATGGAAAGGTAAAATACATTTTCTTGAAAATCTGTAAGCTAGTATAAATATGATATGAAATGACATCGTAATTCTATAAATAAGTAATAAATCTGCAAGCCACCTTCTCGCAAAAATGGCTCAATATCACCCATTTTCATAAAACGTGCTGAGGGATAAAGGCCGAGGAACAGCAATCAGAATTGCACAGGCAGCCACAAGGTTTGATCTGTCAATACTCAAAATGCAGTTAACAGTTCAGCTTCATTGATGCGAAATTGACTGCCAGTTTTATGGCCTCCTCAACATTTGATGCATCAGTACCCTAAAGAGCAAAAATGACATTTCATGAGAATTTTTGTTCTCCAGTATAATTTAATTTGAGCGTATACATTTGACGGAACTAAAGTAACAATTTTGCAAAGCTTAATTTTGTAGACATATCTCCTGATTAATTTTGCTGGTTACTTTTCTTCAAAAAAAAAAAAAAAAAAAAAAAAAAAATAATAATAATAATAATAAAATAAAAAATTGCTGGTTACAACTGCTTAGCATGCTTGCCTGAGCAACCGGTCCCAAAATAGTTCAGAGCAAGATAATAAACAAGCAGAAGCTAGGAAAGTCTCTGACCTGTTTCGTTTCCATCAGAACTCTAGACGACATCAGACGTCAGAATCACAGATCTTTCTTATCCTACTTACTAGTTACTACACATGCATGATATAACTCAAATCCCAACTAATATGAACAATGTGCTACAGCAGAAACAAATGAATTTTTTTTTTTTTCATTATTTTCATCTTTTTAGTTAGTTGGAAACTTGGAATACGTAGTTGTTGTTGTTGCAATAAGAAAGCATACATCACTTAGTGAAAAGGTTGCTAACCTGGCCTTGAGCGAGACCACCTTTTCCTTTACCGCCCTTTCCCTTCAGTGGACCCAAAGCAACTGTTAACCATTCAGACACTTCTAAGCCCTCGCATTTGTTGTCCTTGCCGGGAACTCCAGCATAAACAATAGCCTTATTTGCAGATTCATCCACACTAAAGACCATGATTGGTATCTTCTGCTTGCCACAACAAAGCAAAGTTAGTAAGCACCCAATGCAAAGTAAAGCCATAAAACAGAAACCTATTCCATGAAAAGGGGAAGACAAGGCAGTCAAAACCGCAATTGCCACAAACCTTCTCCTGTATCACTTCCTGTATAGCTTCCTTGAGGATTTTGACAGCAGAAGCATCTACACCAACATCAACACGAGAGATGCAGAAGGTCTTCCCCTCTGCAACAGCAGCCTCTGCCCTCTCACTGGCAATCTCGACTACTTTTTGACGATTCTCAGCAGCCAATCTTTTCTGTGCATTCCGCACTTGGTCCTAAATTAAAGGACGTGAACATGAATATGTATGCAAAAGGTCATGGAGTTGGAGAACAAGCAAGAAAAGCTAGTAAACTTAATCAGAACAAAGACAATACCTGAAGCAAGGAAATCTTCAGCCGAATATCACTTTTCTTGGCTGTTGGAATGGATGCTGCATCTACACTGCTTCTCAGAGCTGCGACTTTCTGAACCAAAAGCGAATATAAATCATCACTCATCAAAAACATAGATATCTGTAGCAGGAGGCTCAAATGATGACAACCATTTAAAAAGAACAGCACTGAATGCTAAGATTGATTTAGTGTTAGAAGAATGACATAATAATATTTCAAACTAACCTTCTCTAGCAGGCTTGCTTCTATGTTTGATGCATCAATCACTTCTTGCTCAAGGGAGCATGCCGATTTAAATGCTTCCAATGCAATGTCAGATGTAACAGCAGTCACTCTACGAATTCCTTTGGCAATTCCCTCCTCAGATAAAAGAGCAAATGCCTTAGCTTCTTTTGTATTAGATATATGGGTTCCTACATAGTCCACAAAACAATTTTTAGTACAAAATAACTCAAATCTTTGAAAATGAACACATAAAAAGTCAAGAAGACAGAATACCTCCACAAAGTTCAGCAGAGTATTGTGACCACTCTTCTTTTTCTGGATCGGCCAAGAGATCTTCCACCTTTTTACCAATTGATACTATTCTCACAGGATCAGGGTATATCTGAAACAGTTAGCACAGTCTTTCACTGGGTATTTGATAATGAGAAACAATAATATAACATGTTGCTTTCAAAAGAATAGAAGCTTACTTCTCCAAATACAGCTCTAAGACCATTTACACGCTTGGCATCAGTAAGTTTTGCCTCTTTTGCATATACATCTAATTCAGCTTTAATTTGTTCATTCACTATGCTTTCTATTTTCCTCAATTCTTCACTTTGAACAGGCTTGCCTGTTGAGGAAAGCAATGGCTTTCAGCTTAAAACGTAATTAGCAGTATGACAAACAACCTACTAAAACAACGAAAATTCATTACCATGAGAAAAATCATATCTTAATTTCTCAGGAAGGACAATAGATCCCTTCTGATCAACATGAGTCCCAAGAACTTCCTGCAAATCCACAAATGTACAGCATTTAGACAGGGATACACAACCACAAACAAATACAAGTTAAATTAGGATGCAACCTACCCTGAGAGCAAAGTTTAACATGTGAGTACAGGTATGGTTGGGGGCAATGAGTTGACGCCTATTATAGTCCACCTGTACAACCAAATTAAAAACAAGTGAGAAGGAAAAGAAGAGCATGGCCAAAGGAATGAATGGGATGCGTATTATATAGATAAATGACCTTGCAAGTGACTTTATCACCAACAGATAATCTACCAGTTTCACTAGAACCAATATGTAGAACGAAACCGCCAAACGCTTGGACATTAGAAACTTTAAAACTACCATGTGGGCCATCAATTGATCCAGTGTCAAAGATCTGAAACAAAAGAGATCAAATTAGAGACCTGAACATCAGTACAATGTTTGTATACATATAGTGCAATTGACTTTTAAAGCTGTAAGTCATGCAATATAAATGAGATAAGCTGTCAGTGTATCCAAACAGATGGACTTTCTTATCAACTACTCAAATCCAGTAGCTGGACAATGAAAGCTACAGAAGATTAGAAGACAATATAACAATGTACTCTACAAATAAAATGTACGTTAGTGCACAGAAGAATTAATTGGCTTCATTGTAAATATAAATAGAAGATAATAAAGCGATTAACAGTAGATTAACGATCATGCGCGTGCCACTTCAGATCAAATCGAACACCTACTAATCAGATATTAGTAAACTAAAACCAGAACAGAAAGTGATTCATGCTTGACCAATACCAATTTTTACTGGTAATATACCTGACCACCTTGCTCAGCATAGAAACTTGTGGACTCCAGTACAACACCAATTTCCTGGCCAGCTTCAGCAGATTCCAAAAACTCAGATCCAGTGTAAACAGCTCGAATGGTGCTGTCATGATCCTGAAATACATATATTTGCATGAGAAATCTACATTATCAAGTTCCCCTTTATATAAGTGATGTACGCCACGAAGTTCCTAGCTTCCATCAACAGAAATACTACTTGAATAATACAATGAATATACTAACCTTGAACCAGATGTACTTGCTAGAGTCGTCAGTGGTTGGAACTTGATTGTTGTATAATAATGCCATCGCATTTGCATCCATCGTAATTGCTCCACCAGCTTGCTACAGGATATCAAAGTGAAAGTTAGGTTTACATAATAATCCACAAGGGATCACAACAAAGGGAAAGCTGCATAACTATTGTCTCTCCCAAACTAAAATTTCTTACAGTCAAACCCCCCCCCCCCCCAAAAAAAAAAAAAAAAAAATTATATTTATATATCAGCAATGCACATGAGGCATGAAATTTGAATTCAAAAAAGCAGGTTTCCCATCCAACACAATGTTACTCCAGTTTTGATCACTAGGAAAAAAAAATACCTTATTTTGAGCACTTCTTGATCTTTCCCTTGCTTCCGCCATAGCATCAATAAAACCTTTAGTATCAACAGTTAAACCTCTTTCCTCTGCCATTAACTAGAGAGAAACATGAATTAGGAGTCAAAAAAATGCAAAATGGAAAGATTGCATTTTTATGTAAGTAAAAATATCACACCAAGTACCTGGGTCAAATCTAATGGAAAGCCATAAGAGTCCCACAATAAAAATGCATCCTGCAAGACACAACTTAGGAATCATTGACAGCTCTATTATGCAACAGCTATTTACCAACTTGTGAAGCTATGGGCTCATTGCACAAAAGCTGCAGACAAAAGATAATAGAATATTTACCAGTTGAATTACTATCATTTAAAATCAATACTATACGGTCGATGTGACAGTTAGTAGCAGGGATAAAAAGGTGTTGGCTAATCCAACAATTCTCTCCCCACTGAAGTCAGTGTTTAAGATTACAACAATAAATAAGATTTTTAAATCATGGATGTAGTGTCACGAACTCACGAAACGACTTTTGTGATCAATGCAGATGGTTTTGTGCCTGATACAGCCTAATTTTTTTATTTTTTTTAAAAAAAAGTTAGTAGGAAAGTAGATTTAGCAAAAGATAAAACCTCATTCAAATATCATACACAAAAATAAAGAGTGCACATGCCAGAAGAAACCCACAGTAGAAAAGGAGCATATGCAAATACCAAAGGAAAGCATTCTACCTGGCCAGTCAATGTCTTCCCATCAACCTCCTGGGCAGCCTTCTTAAATTTTTCAATACCCTGGTTACATATTGACCATCATTTGTAAGAGTTAAAGCACAGCATAGCCATAAATGCCAACAAACTACTACAGAACTCAGCTAGACCTGATCTAAGCTGGGATTTAAAATTCCTTTAAAAGGACAGTTCCTAATTTCCTTTAAGACTTTGGCCAATTTATGTACCATCACTTGGTTATTAAGCATAGCATAAGCAATTTAATAATGAACCCCCATTAATCCTCATCGCATAAGTTGTTACCCATCTCCTTATAGCTTTGCAAACCAAGAAAACATGTCATTGCTAGCAAATGTATTTCTCACCTTAAGCAATGTTTTCCCAAAACTAGTCTCCTCAGCTGCAATGACATCTTTGATATGTTTCTCGTGCTGCTTCAGCTCCGGGAAAATATCATCCATCAAATTCACCAGAGTAGGTACCAACCTGCAGCCAATCATGTGTTCACATAATATGTGTTTGTAGGAATAGAATTAAGGATAAAATACAGCATTATTCATAGGAAGAAAATATGGAAAATGATAATTCAAGCTAGAAGAATGATTGAATAAAAAGTATGTTATTCTTTCTTACCCATTAAAAAACCCTTCTTTGGCATTTAGTACTTCATTTCCATAACGAACAGCACGACGAAGAATGCGCCTTAATACATATTCACGACCCTCATTACCTGCATTACAAGTTAAATCAAGTTAAGTGTCTATACATGTTATTACAACTATTTTTCTTCAAACCACAAAACCCAAAATAGAACCCAGCATGAGAGTCTTAATCCTATCTACTACTAAATACGAAGTATATGATTGTATTCTGAAATGTAAACAGCATATGAAGCCTTACATATCCAACTAACCACTACAATCAAATTTTGCATAGCTAGTTTCTGATTCCAACTAAAATAACTTCCAATCCACCGTAGTTGTAGATCCATAAATTTCAGGGCTAAGTCAACAAGCCAACAATAATGAATCAATTTAAAAACTTCTGAAGACCCTATAAAGGAAATAATAAATCTACTTAAATAATCATCAAAATCATGATACATGAGATAGTTACTAAATTTTCTCTTTAGAAGAGGCAAATATGAGATCAATATTCCCTAACCAGACAAGATTAACCTACAAATTATATATTTATTTTCAAATGTAATATATCTATGATGTTTAACTTCAAAATTACAACAAAAATCAATGTCAAAGTACAGCTGTTTGATAGCATGTACGACCACAAGACGACATGTACGCATGTTGCATTGTGCATGTTTAAGACAGAATCTAAATAATTACCAAAGAATTTAATCCCAAATTCATGAATTATGATCAGCTGTCATCTACTTTTTATAATTACAATAAATACATTTTTCACTTCCTGATGAAGATTCAAAATATAAGAATTCAAACAAATACAGTAACAGCAAAATTTAAAAATAGGTGAGCACTAGGACCATGTTTCAGATTATACCTGGACAAGCACCATCAGCAATTGCAAAAGAGAGAGTTCTTATATGATCAGCAACAACCCTATAGGCCATATCAACTTTGTCTACATCATCATCACCAACTTTTCCAGAATAAGTGCGAGCCCCAGTTGCCTGCATGCCAATTAAAAGGTTGATTTCTCAATCCAAACCATTGGTTCACGATGCATTAAGACATATCCAACTTAGAATATTATTAGCTGATGTAATCTACAATACAGCCCACGCATGCAGAATTGAGACTAAAAATCATCACAAACACCACAATTAAAATAAATTGTCTAAACATTGACCAAACTCGAACAGCAAGGAGACTTCTTATTTAACAAAACTCAATGGACAGCCATGCATTTCAAAATGCAGAAACAATCATGAAGAAGACCCGCTTAAACTAGCTTCAGTAGAACTAGACCTATTGCTATTATGTACACTCCCCCTGCCCCCCTAAGTAGATTCTGGACCAGCATATAACATGGTGATAATACAATTCTTGGCTAAATAGGATTAACATCACCCCCCCCCCCCTCCTTTTAGTAGCTTCTGGACCAACATATACCATCAAGGTAACAAAAAATTTGGCCAAATAGGATAGACGTAAAAAAATCTACTTTAATAGTGTTTCATAAGCTAGAAAAGTAGGTAATCAAGCAATTAATTGCAGGTCATGCTTCCAATAAAGTCACAGATTCAGTGATGCATGTAAGCCCCACGACCTAAGTAGGCAAGCATTGGGCATTCATATATCAGATTTCTTAGCTCTAGTAATAAGTAACACTCCTTTTTCTTCCTTCTAATGGTATCCTTTTAATTAGTGAACAACATAAATAATACTCCCCAACCCCACCCCCAAAAAAAAACATTAAAGAAGAACTAAAATAAATTAAAAAAATAAATAAATAACAGTGTACATCATCAGTCAATTATTGATCAGCAGGATTATTCTTTCAGGCAACATATTTTGGTTTTATATCAGGGGTCAGGCTTAGACGACCCCTATAGAAAGATCTGTCCCTGTACATGGAAAGCACAAATAGAAGTCGAAAGCAGGGGAATAATTATTCATCAGTTGACAAAGATACTTAACTAATAGTTTTATAGCCAATCAACAATAAACTATACTGGCCGTGAAGATACCGGGAGGTTAATCAAGCGGCGGATTTCTTGGTGGCGAAGGGGGTTTCTTTTAACCCCTCCCTCTCCCTTATCATCCGCAAGGATGAGTTAGGATGGCCCTTCCAAAGGGCTGTGATGTATCGGGTACAGCAGCCTATGAAGGTGTACACAAAAAGGCACAAGCAACAGCAAGTTATGGAGCAGGATCAAGAGCAGCAACAAAGGCAACAAGGACCACAGCTAAATGACAAAACAAATTAATATTCCTCTAAAAGGTGGTAAGCATGACTGCAGTCACCTTGTCACAAAAAAGGACAAAGGCCTCAATGATTAGTGATGCTCTAATTTTGATAAATGTGGAAAGATTAAATATTATATTATTGTACATGCATGTATAAAAAAGGATGCTTTCCCTCATCTCCCATTGTAACACCAGACACTTTACTGTGTCCCATTATCTTCAAGCTAAGAGTTCTGTATGACAGACTCTTGGATTCGTATCCAAGTCTCATACGTGTATCTGATTCTAAGCATTATAGCAAAGAACTCATCAAAAACTTTGCTACCATATAACGAGTCTGAAAATTAAATTTATCTAAGACATTGGCAAAGAAATATTATGTCCAAATACCAGGAGAATTTTTTCTCAAACACAGACAAATAAAAAAACAATAAGAATGCTTTAAGTCATATGATACCTGTTGAATAGCATCGAACAAGGGCATGAAGACATCAGTATCATAATTACTCATCTTATTCTGAAGAATCGATGTCAATCTTTCAAAACCCATTCCCGTATCAACGTGTTTTGCAGGAAGGGATTTCAGGGAACCGTCAGTTTCTCTGTTGAACTACCACAAATAAAAGAATCCATATGTTAGCAGCAAACCAAAATATCTGGGAAACAATTCTCTAAAATGAAAAAACTCTTTTGTCATAAAGCATACGGGAGTATTAATTCTAAAGATGGGTAGCAGATCAATATCAAAGATCAAGAAATTCAACATTTTAACTAGAATAACAGTATACATAGTATAATTATTTGTTCGTTGCAGAATCAAATAGACAGGAAACAAGGCCTACTCCACAAAATATATTTGACAAAAGCATACCTGAATAAATACAAGATTCCAAATCTCGATACATGTAGGGTCATCATTATTAACCAGTGATGCAGCATCACGATTCCCAATCCTATCGAAGTGAATCTCAGTACAAGGTCCACAAGGACCAGTATCGCCCATCTCCCAGAAGTTGTCCTATTCCATACAAACATCCGGCCACATATATTAGAACTAAATTACAAAAGCAAACCCCACTAATCAACAAATACATGCCTAATAAGGCTCGGATACAAGGCATTCAAAATAATCACAAAATAGTTCAGAAAAGATAAAAATGCAAACCTCTCCTTCCCTAATAACATGCTTTTCAAGATTATGCACAAGTATATAAATAATGTTAGTTACTCCTTTGGTATCATTAATTTCTTAAAGGACATAACTTAATTAATGTGATAAATTTGTGAGGTGACCTGATATTATGAGGCAGATAAAGTGACACGGCTTCCATTTAGGAATGTCCCAAATTGTATGAGAGTTTCAGATGACATCTCTTAAAAGATAAAATTTCCAGTACTTCCCAGGGAAATATGTCATTTGAATTGAAGAGATACTTCTTGGACTAATAAAAGAGCTTGCAGAAAATCTTATCATACATTCTCGGAACTCCTAATAACTGTGCAAAAGCAAGATTTTCACATGGATAGGATGAAAGAAGGATGAGAGGATTTCTTCCCCCCTTCAACTAATATATAAGGAAATTGATATCTAGCCGTAGCCACCCTAGTCAGGCTGTAAAGTTTAAAGCTTATAGCATCCCAGGATGTCAGTCATGTCACCATATAACATTTAGTCATCTTTGGCATGTCAGATGGGAAGGAACAAGAGGATCTCAAAAAAGACCAAAGAAGACCAAAGATGACTAGGATGGAAGGAGTTGAGAAGGACATGAAGAGGTTGGTTTTCCAGAAGCATATGAAATTAGACAAAAGGGAATGGAAGGAGAGGATCATGGTTAGAGAGTACAGGAGATAAAATCTTAATTCATGAGCTGGACCTATCTTTAGGATTAAGGCTCTGATGATTATTGTTTTGCATACAAAAATTAATGTATTACCTTATCTATTCTCTCCTTAAATAGGTAGGTGTAAAGAATAAAATGATCCATATGACAAGCCAGGACTCATAATTTATCTCAAGTATTATATGTGCGTATTTATCACACAGTAGTTTTCTAGCATGGCAAAGGATTTTGCAACCAGATGGTGATTCTACCAGTTGACCAAATTCAAGACCCTTTTAGGATTGAATCAGCAACCAAAGCCAATTAAGTTGTAAATTGACACCTATTACTATCACAAGGCAACAATTTCCACAGTGTGATACGAGTAGGAACTGTAGCTTAACTATAGAAACACTGTATACTACTATAAAAAGTTTAAAGGTCCTAGCAGTTGGCCTAATTAATAATCAATTGAGTATTCATCTACAACTGCTAAGAGCAGCTGGGTGGGTACAGCATTCCAAGAATCAAAACCTCAGAAACATCATAAAAGGGGACAAGATACTTCGTGAAAGAACTTTCCATAAGTGCAGAGAAAAAGGTTTTTTGGACCTTGATGTAGTAATAACTAATAACTGTTCTTCAACATCCAAAATTTAAGTTTAACTCATAAAAGTACGGAGATAAAATTCTGTTAAGAGTTATGAAAAGATACCTTGCAACCAAAAGGTAACACACGCTCAGGAGGCAAGTAGTTGAGCCAAATCTCCTTGGCCTCCGTGTCAGCAACAAGTCCTGCTTTCTCATCTCCACCGAAATAGGTAGCATAAATTTGATTAGCAGGAAGGCCATAAACCTGTCAGCAGTACAAGAGCACAAAATTTTACTACCAATATTATGTCAAAACCTTTTTCACATTATGCTAACAAATAGAATTTAAAACAGCATAGAAAATCAAGTCTGAATAGTTGCCTTGGTCAGGAGTTCCCAGGCCCATTGAATGGCCTCTTTCTTAAAGTAATCACCAAAGGACCAATTGCCAAGCATTTCAAAGAATGTATGATGGTAAGTATCCTTCCCAACATCGTCGAGATCATTGTGCTTCCCACCAGCTCGAATACACTTTTGAGTGTTGCAAGCTCGCTTCAATTCGCTCAAAGGACTGTTAGGATCGACGTTCCCCAGAAAAATCGGCTTGAACTGATTCATACCTGTTCAATCAGACAATTATGATACTATGAACCTTACTGTAAATGGCAAGATTATAATCAGCACTAAACAACCAGCATATGTCCTCAACATATAATCCGATAACGGCGACGACAACCAGAATATGTCCTCAACATATAATTCGATAATGGTGACGACAACCAGCATATGTCCTCAAGCTATCTGTCTGCTATAAACAACTCCCCTCTTCCACCATTTTCTTACCAACCCAATATTTAATTAATTCATTTTGTTAATTTGATTGATTTATTCGTCTTGTTAATTTAATTGATTAATTGAGACACATTAAACCTAATTACCCAATAGACAAATTGAAATTACTAATCAAATTCAAGATACAAACAATAATAATAGGAGGAAAGAACACAAACCAGCATTAGCAAAGAGCAAAGTAGGATCATTAACAGGAACAACAGGGCTTGATTTCCAGAAAGCATGGTTTTTTCCTTCAAAATATTTGATGAAAGTGTCTCGAACTTTCTTAGCAGGCCATTCCAAAGAAACCCCATCAACAGACTCTGATTGAAGCCCCATAACTTGAAGAGATGATGAAGAAAACCTGGTTTTTTCAGATAAAAACCTGGTTTTTCCAGAAACCCAGAATCTGAAATGGGAAAAAGGAGTGAAATGTAAAGGTGTTGAAGGGATAGAGACTATAACAGGTCGTTGAGTGAAGTGGGAGATGAAGAAACTAAAACCTCTTCTAGCATAACCCCTCATACATTACATTAGGGATTTGTTAAACATCGCCCACAAATTACTACATAAAGCCCACAAAATTCACTTGGTTTCCCAAAATTGCCCTTGACCTTAAAAAAAAAAACACTCACACTCTCATCACTCACACTCTCATCACTCACACTCTCATTGCTCATCTTCTTTCAACCTCTCTAAAAAAAAAAATTCAAAATAACGGCAATGTCGAGGCGGCAAGGCAAGGAAGTGGCGGCGGCGGCGGAGGGAAGGATGTCCCAAGGTGGAAAGGTATATTTTGTTTAAAAAAAAAAAAAAAAAAAGGGGAAAACCGCCGTGAACGCGGTGGGGCGCCCTGGCTGGACGCCCAGCCGGCGGTGGTGGCGCCAGATGCAGACGCCGCCACCAGTTGGCTGGCGCCTGGGCTGGATGCCACCGCCACGGTTGTGGCGTTTAGTCTAAGCGCCGCAGCCGTGGCTGTGGCGTCCAGCCCAAACGCCAGCCAACTGGTGGCGGCGTCTGCATCTGGCGCCACCACCGCCGGCTGGGCGTCCAGCCAGGGCGCCCCCCCCCTTTTTTTTTTTTTTTAATTTTTTTAAAAAATTGTTTTTAAATTTTTTTTTTTTTTTTTTTTTTGTAATATAATTTTGAATTGTTTTTATATTTTGTTGTTTATTTTTATAAATTTTTTCAATTTCGTTGTATTTTTTCTACGTTTATATTTTGTTTACTATTATTTGTTTGTTTTTAGTGTATTTGATTTGCGATGATGATTATTTATCGTATAAATTTTTGTATGTTTATATATTTTAAAATTTTGTGTAGGGTCGTCATGGTGGGGGGAAGAATATAGAGCTTCTTAGTAGAAGTTATTCAGTGGAGAGGTCGGGGCATAGACATGTCAGATCCCGTGGTATTTCGGCCTCAGTTCGTAGAGAACGGATCCACCGTCGGGATGAGGATGACGATGACGATGATGATGCTGAGGAGGGTGACCAGGAGGAGGAGCAGGAGGAGGGCGCAGATGAGGATGAGGATGTGGACGATGGCAGTGGACCGTATGATGATTACGGTCCATTCAGTCAGAGGGTTGATGACATGTACGAGACGCATATGGTGGAGGTGCGTAAGGGTAGGGGTGGTAGGTTTGTTAGTAGATCTGGCACATCATTTGCGTCCACTGTCTCTGGGGCAAGCAGGAAACGGTCGAGGGCGGGTAATGATTCTTGGGTTGTTAGGAGTGAGGTGCCCGGTGGGCCTGTTGACGGGAGTGTGATTCCTAGCTTTCTAGGACACATAGCTGCCCGTATTTGGGAGGACCAGGAGAGGCCTTCAGTTACGGGGTTGTTGAAATGTCATACCCGGGAAAAGACTTGTAGTTTTTTGCGTACATGGGCTGAGGCCTGGCCGGCGGAGAGCGAGATGTTCGAGCGACTGGAGGGCACTGGGGTGAAGCACGTTCCTGCCACCATGCACGATAAGATTGACAGTACGCTGATCACGGCTTTCATTGAGCGATGGCAGCCGGATACAAACTCTTTTCACCTTCCGTTCGGTGAGATGACGATCATGTTACATGACGTCGAGGCCATTCTGGGGATTCGTGTTGAGGGTAAACGACTTTGTGCTGTGGCTGATGCGGATCAGGCAGATTCGCTGGCGGAGTTGTTGGCGGTGGACAGGGCTGCATTGTACACCGAGGCGCTAGGTGTTTGGGAACACGGAGGTGTGAAGATCGCATCCGTGTTGCAGCGGTGTTTGTACCCGAGTGCACGTAGGACGCCCGACGCACAGCTGAGTGCTTATGTTTTTCTACTCCTCGGATGTACCTTGTTTCCGGATAAGAGCGGCGGAAACAAGCTCAGGCCACGCGACATCGTAGAGGCGTGTGACCCCGACAGTGTAGGCCAGTTTTCCTGGGGATCGGCTACGTTGGCGTATTTGTATCGCCAACTAGGATTTGCGAGTCGGGCTGACGCGGCAGGTATCACTGGGTGTCTGACTCTATTGCAGACTTGGATATACGAGTACTTTCCTGCATTGCGACCACATCGTGACCCAGTTCCTATTGATGAGGGGATGCCGCGTGCTTGTGCCTGGAGTCCGCGCTCGGAGAAGAAGTCCGTTGACCGCCTCCGATCGATACGGTTATTGCTGGACAGGCTGTCCCCCTTAGAGGTAACGTTTATTTATAGAGTCTACATTTTATTATTTGCACATATTATATTCATGTTATTATATTTTATATGTTGTAATTGTACAGGTGAACTGGATGCCTTTCGGCCCGAACCCTAGTGTTAGGGTACCCAGGACCCTGTACACGGGACTCATTCAGTATCGTGACATCGTCGAAGCGTACATGCCCCAGCGTTGTCTTCGCCAACTTGGATTTGTCCAAGTTGTCCCTCCTCCCCCGGCGTGCCCGATGAAGGCGGTCCGACCTGCATCGTCGAGGGAGTACGTCGTGGAATGGCCGGATATCATGACCGGGACGTGGGACCAGTTTCCGATGGTGGCTCGATTATGGACAGCGGAGTTGCAGCGGCCGCCCTCTAGGGTTACTCCCATGTGTGACCATTACTACATGGAATGGTTCAACCGGTATTCGCACCCGAGGTTGATCGCTGATCTCGACCACAGCGATGATGATTATGTGCCACCGCCTACTGCCACGGAAGCGGTATGTCTTTTATTATATTTATCGTTGTCTTTTATTTAAGTTTTATTTGTTGTTATTGTATTTCATCTTCTGTTTTTTGTTGTATGCAGTGGATGGGAAAGATAATGCAAGACGTTCAGAAACTCTCTCTTGAGAAGGACAGCATGAGTGCAACAGGGAGAGCTGTTGTTGATAGTCTGGAACAGACCCTTGCGCAGTGGGAGTCGTCGTCGAGGAGGGATTACTGATGGTTATTGTATTTTATTTATAGAACATTATGTTGGACATTATGTTGTAAAATTGTAACATTTTAGATTGTTCTTTTAGCTTCCAACTTAAACATATTATCAGTGCTGTTTTTAAATTTTGATATAACCGTTCGTGGATCCGCGCAACTTACCCATGCAACATATAGAATGCAGTAAGCAATACAATATAAAATATTAATGTTCTCATTAAAAGAGCAACGTACAAATAAGATTACAAATAAAGAATGTAAACAAGAAAAACTAAAATGCAGCTAGGGTGTTCCATTCGTGGATCCCGTCATTATATAGCGCATCCCAACCCTCTACGCTCGCTGTGCGAATGTTGTACCACCGAGGTATAATCGGTGGCACCGGAAAATCGGTTGACATGTCTAGTCGGATGAAATGTCTGTATGACGACCCAAGAAACGCAATAGCTAGCTCTCTGACCGGTGTGGTGACAGTCTCACGCGACCGCCAAGGGAGAACCGTGGTACAAGGATAATAAGCTTGACTATGCACTCCCAGGCCGAAATGCATGACTGCGCATTTGTAAATGTTTGCAACGGCAAACAGATCTAGGGGCGCGTCAAAATAATGATTTTCGCCGCAAGGTCCACCTCCCCACCGGATACGTCGGAGAGCGCCATCCAAGTCATCCTCGTACACATGACGATAAACATTTCGGTTAGAGGCAATTTCGCTGTACATCAACTCACGCACCAAACCGTAGTTGTCTTCGCCCATTTGAAAAACATCAGCCACGACCCGGAATCCGCAGTTACCATCTCCGATTACATCATTCCACCCTTCCACGTACGACATGATGATCGCAGGTATCCTTTCCTTGTAGGGAAACTAATCAACATCGTTTCTTCCTATTCACCAAATAATTAATTATAGACAGTTAAGAAGACAGGAGTAACACTTTAAAACTATGTGCAATAAAAACAACCAAAACGTACCAGTTCTCAGGGGCATATTCACAGACGATGAAGATTGACTACGACTAGATGACGATGTCCGACCACGAGAACGACCACGACCAAGACCACGGATATACTCAAACGCACTCTTGTTCCGCCGCTGTCGACCTCGAGGACGGTCAACTCCTTCGGGTTCCTCATAATCTAAGTTAGACGGGTGGAACATGTCATGAAGCACATGAGTAGCGTCACGAATAATAGAAGGATGGCTGGAGGACACTCGGTCGTACATCGAACGGAACTGCTCCAACTCTTCCTGTTCACGGTCGGCCGTTTGATTGTCTGCATGCTCACCAATAACAAGCGTCCTCCAGAATGAATGGACCTGATCAACATGTAACGACGCCCTTTCTTCTGTAATAACGCGATGAATGGTGCATGCGCAAGGTAATCCATGAGTTACTGAAATAGTACACCCACACCGAGTATACACTTCGTCAGCCAAGTCCCTCACCCTGTTCAGCTCAGTGAGAATCAACCCCAAGCAGTAGTGCGACACACGACCATGGAGAATCTTAAATATAAAATGGCTATACATCGTACCATGTCGTCGTCTGGAGTCCTCTAGAGAGTTCCTGATGTCGTTCTTCTGAGTTTCAATTGACTTGTTCAGTCTAGCGAACAGTGTATCCAAAGCAGCGGTCGATGAATCAATCCAGTCCTTGGTAGCTCTATGAGCGCTCTCAACTCTACATGTTGTAGTGTTCCCAAAATGAAGTACCTGGTTTGTCCAATATTTGACAAACTTTTCCCTATGAGGGACCCATTGATGCATCACATAGTCCACCAGTGCCGGATACCACTGGTACGAATCCCTGAAGTTAGCCAATGCTCGCTCATACGCTTCCTCTGTGGTAGCCTGTAGGATCTTCCGCCACTTACCATTCACCAATCTCTCTGCCATTTCCAAATTCTTCCTGAAAAGGTTGTAGGCTTTCACTTTCACGCAGTTGTTGATGTGCCATGTGCACAATAAGTGGTTCGATTCGGGAAACAGCTCTGCTATGGGGGCAAAGAGACCTCCCTCACAGTCGCTGACGATGGCTGCTGGATGAACATTAGGCCCGATGTAGTTTCTCAGCTTCTCCAAAACCCAATAATAACTTGGAGCCGTCTCATCCCTGATGATTGCATGACCAATCAGAAAGTTCTGGTTCGTTGGAGCCATCCCAACCATCTCAACCAGAGGGAACTTGTACTTGTTTGTCTTGTACGTTGAGTCGATCAAAATCACAAATGGCCAAGACTTGATCATATCAGCACAATCAGGATGCACAAGGAAAAGATGAGTCACCTCCGCTGTATCTTCATCAGAATCAAACCAGAACAGGTAACCACGTGATTGTGCCTGGTGTAGCAGCTGCTGTATAGGGTTCCTTCCCTCTGACCGTTCAAACCTGAGTTGCTGTCTGACGTTGTAGATGTGTCTTCGGTTTGGATGGTCTTCTGGAAATTTCTCTAACACAGATGCTAATATTTTAGCAGGCTTCACTTGAGCATCACTCATTTCTTTCACAACTAGTTTCGCAGCAGGACTTAAGCCGCTCAGTTGTCGATGACCCTCTTCATATACTATCATCTCATGGTTGTGATACCCCCATTTAGAGTAACCTATCACTTCCCAACCGTCACGACTCCGTAGTTGTCGAACCTTTACTCTGAACTCACACCCACAACCTTTCCGCTTTGTGTCAAACCGAGTGGCTGTACGAAAATCTCTTTCTTCTCTTTTGCGATAACGGTCACATCTCAAAATGCGATCCATTCTACCATCCCGTTGAGATTTATGAGTTGCTACTACCAAGCAAAATCCAGCTGCAATTGCAACCTGTTTTGCCCAATCAATCGCCTGTTGAGCTTCTTCGAATGGACCATCATGTCCAAATATCTCACTGTAATCATTTCCGTCTCCACCATATTCCTGCATCAATTATATATTACAATAAATACATTTAACGGATAATACATTTAATTTCTATATTTCCACATAATTAACACAAAAAAAACATAATTATATATAATCAAACTTAATTTTTTTAAAAACCCCAATTCGAATTTTCAAACTAAATTTAAAAATATACCAATTCGAATTTTCAAATTTAATTTTACAAAAACCTATTTCGAATTTTCAAATTTAATTTACAAAAAACCCATTTCGAATTTTTTTAAAAAATCATTTTCGATTTTTTATTTTCACAAAAAAATTAAATAAAAAACAACAACAAAATCAAAAAGGAAAAAATAAAATTAATTATTAAAGGTGGCGTCTGCCAGGGCTGCCACACCCACTGGACTGGCGCCTGGCAGGGCCGCCTCACCCAGTGGAGTGGCGCCTGGCCACGACGCCGGTCTGGTGGTCTGGGCGTCTGGGCTGGACGCCACTTTGGTGGTCTGGGCGTCTAGCCTGGACGCCACTCTGGTGGTTTTGGCGTCCGGCTTGGACGTCCAGGCTACGGTTTGGGCGTCCACCCTAGGCGTCGTAGCCACTACGACGGTAAACCGTGAATTTTAGCGGTCACTTACCTCGTTTTCCGTCGACGACGACGTACCTCCGGCGTCCCCCGCATCTCCGGCCTGCCATCCGGTCTCCCCCGACGAGCCAATACGGCTCCACATTTTTCACACCGAGATTATCTCAATTTTAGCAAAAGGGCATAATGGTCAAATCATAACATATTTGTGGGCTTTATGTGGTAATTTGTGGGCGATGTTTAGCGTTTCACTTACATTAATGTTCATGGTTTTAAGGTTTTGTGATGAACCAATCTATTTAGGCGTGACAATTACAAACAAAAAAATTTCCCTCCGGGTTTTCCTTGGGAGGGTTTCTTCTAGTCGCTTGGGGCTAGGTTTTCCTGTTTTTCAAAGTGTGTCTCGATTTTTGATCGAGTTTTCCTGTTGATTTTGCAATTGTTTCCTGTTTCTTTGCTATGTTTCCTTTTGTTCTGTTTTTTTTTTCAATTATGGCCGAAAAATCACAAATCCTAGCTATTGGTGAGAAGGAAGGGGATGTGACAAAAAACAAAGGTGAATCTTCCAATTCTGATTTAAATGATGCAATTGACTGGGATGATGTTGGTGAGGACGATGAAGACGCTCGTGTAGAACTTGCCCTTGTTGGGAAGATTTGGACGAACCGTAATGTCAATACCAATGCTTTTATTTCCACAATCAAAGGAGTCTGGCAACCTAAGTATGGTGTGGACATCACAAATATTGGCAAGAACCTCTTCATGTTCCAATTCTTTCACTGGCGTGACAAACACATAGTCCTCGAAGAGCAACCTTGGCATTTTGACAAACATGCGCTTCTTCTTGGGGAGACGACAGACTCGGTAAAACCTTATGATATCCAACTCTTTCACTTGCCAATGTAGGTTAGAATCTATAATCTCCCTCTTAAAGGAAGGCTAAATATTGCTAATCTTGAGAAAATTGGCAACAAATTGGGTGTGTTTATTAAACTGGACAGTGATTCTCGTGTGGGCATTGATAAATCAATACGTATTCGATTGTTGATTGATGTTAGAAAACCTCTTGCTAAACATGTGAAATTAAAGCTTAGGGGAGGAATTGAGGAATTGTTTGAGATAAAATATGAGAAGCCTTCGTTGTTCTGTTACTTTTGTGGACTCATGGGACATGAGATTAAGGACTGTGATGACCATAAAGAAGCCGATAACCCGAACATTTCTTTTGGTGCCTGGATGAAAGCGTCTCCTTGAAGTATAGTATGGGTCTTAGAGAGGATAAAGAGGGGTTGGAACAAAACAAATCAGCGAGAGCCTTGTTTGTAACAAAACCGAAGAAGTCTCCTGTGAACTCTGAAGTTTCTGCTCAATTACAGGAGATGGTTAGTAAGATTGGAGAGGTGGGTTTATGCTCAAAAAAATCCTATTGAGAGTAATGATTCTCAGGTGGCGCAAGGGGAAGATTTGGGGAGTAGTATATTTCGTTTTACCAGTGGGATTATTTCGGAGGTGGAGCATGATAAGCTTATAACTAAGGGCAGCAGTGGTGAGGGCAGTGGGAAGATTTCGAAGGGATGGAGAAGGTTGTTGAGGGATGATGATCATAGTATGGGGAGTGGTGTTGCTCTTGCTGGAGGTAAAAGGAAGGAGTGTGACACTAATAATAATGTTGAAATGAAGGGTGGTGAGGAATTAGAAGGGAATAAGAGAAGAGTGACGTCTGTGTCTGATGAAAATGTGGCGAGCCCCACTATTTGGGCTCTCGGTGACAAATGAGTTACATCCTCTCTTGGAACTGCAGGGGCTTGGGGAGTGTCGTTGCAGTAAATGCGTTAAAACGCATAGTTTTTCTTGAGAATCCCCAGATTGTTTTTCTTTCGGAGACTAAGTTAAAAGCTTTTGAGATGGAAAAATTAAAAATAAAATAAAGTTCACCTCGGGCTTTATTGTTGAGTGTGAGGGAGAAGGGAGAGGTAGAAAGGGGGGTCTGGCTTTGTTCTGGAAAGATGGAGTAGATATGTCGTTGAGGACATATTCTATTAATCACATAGATGCGTGGGTAAGGTCGAAGGAGTATGATGAGTGGCGTTTTACTGGTGTTTACGGTCATCCCGAGGAGGAAAATAAATATCGAACGAGGTTACTCATGGAGGGGTTGTGGGATGTTTCAAACAAACCATGGCTTGTGGGGGGTGATTTCAATTTGATGCTGCACTCGGGCAAGAAGCAGGGAGGCTGTGACTTTTGCCTTGAGGAAGCTTCCATCTTTCGTAATACTGTGACTGCTTGCCACTTGGAAGATTTGGGTTTTATTGGTCATGATTTTAGATGGACCAATAATAGAGGTGGGGTGGAGAATATTCAAGAAAGATTAGATAGATTCCTTGCAAACCGGGCTTGGAGGGATTTATTTTTGGGATCTTTTGTCACGCATCTTACGAAGAGAAGGTCCGACCACTTACCTATTCTTGTATGCATCAAAGAAGTTGTTCCAAAACAAAAGAAAAAAAAGGAAAAAAAAATTGTATCGTTTTGAGGAAATGTGGCTACGAGATGAAAATTGTGCTGAGATAATCTTATCTGCTTGGGAGTATGGAGGGGACTTGTGTTCAAAAATAGCCTTTACTTCTGCGAGGCTTAGTTCTTGGAGTAGGGAGAAATTTGGAGATTTTGTAAAAGAGCTAGATGCATGTAAAGCCCAAATGAAATTCTTGATGGGTGAGTATCAATCGGAGGAGGTGATTTCCCAAATGAGGGCTCTTGATGATCGGATGGATGAGTTGGAAAAGAGGGAAGAAATGTATTGGAAGCAGCGTAGTAGGCAAGATTGGTTGAAGCACGGTGACAAAAATACGTATTTTTTTCATCAAAAGGCCAAGCAACGAGAAGCACGAAACAATATTGCTCACATAAAAGATGCGGCGGGCAACTCATATGACATTGAAGAGAAAATTTCAGAAACTTTTGTGAGCTATTTTGTGGATCTTTTTGCTAGAAGCAGCAACATTGAGACAGAGCCTGTGATGGAAAAAGTCATACCTATCATAGATGAGAGACAATACACGACTTTGAATGCCCCATTTCATGCTGAGGAGGTTCGCACGACCCTATTCCAAATGCACCCTACAAAGGCCCCTGGGCCCGATGGTATGTCTGCAATTTTTTATCAGAAATTTTGGGATATTGTGGGGAATGATGTAGTTGCAAAAGTGTTGGATATTGTTAATAATGATGGGGATGTAGGTTCTATTAATCAGACTCACATTGTGATAATTCCGAAAAAAAAAGTGTGAGTCTCCTGTTGCTTATAGACCGATAAGTTTGTGTAATGTTTTGTATAAAATTGTCACTAAGATGCTTGCAAATAGATTGAAGTTGGTGCTTCCTTATATTATTCATGAGTCACAGAGTGGTTTTGTTCCGGGTCGTCTGATTACGGATAATGTGTTGGTGGCTTATGAGTGTTTTCATTACCTCAGAAAGAAAAAAAAAGGAAAGAAAGGCTATTTGGGCCTTAAACTTGACATAAGCAAGGCGTTTGACAGAGTAGAATGGGAATTTTTGCAGAAAATGATGCTAAAATTGGGAATGCCAGAAGATTTTGTAGCTCTGATCATGAAGTGTGTTAGTACTGCCTCGTTTGATGTGCTTGTGAATGGCCAGCCGTCGAGAAAATTCAAGTCTAGTTGGGGACTTAGACAGGATGATCCCATCTCTCCTTTCTTGTTTATTTTGTGTGCGGAGGGTTTAACGGCTTTGCTTAGAGATGCAGAAAGCAGGAAACTCATTCACGGGGTTAAAATTGGGAGACATGTACAACCTATTTCCCACTTATTTTTTGCGGATGATAGCCTGCTGTTTGTGAGAGAAACGGAGGAGGAAGTTGATACGGTACTTGGGATTCTTTCTACTTATGAAGTGGCTTCGGGTCAGAAACTGAATATGGATAAATCGGATGTGTCTTTTAGCCAAAACATTGAGCAAGAACGGAAAAACATGCTTCATATGAAGTTGTCTTTTAAGGCTGTAGAGGGACATGATAAATATCTTGGTTTACCAACTTACATTGGTGGATCGAAGAAACAAGTTTTCAGAATATTCAGGATCGGATTTGGAAGAAACTTAAAGAGTGGAAAGAGAAGTACTTATCTCAAGTCGGGAAGGAAATTTTGATTAAATCTATTGCCCAAGCTATCCCGTCTTATGCTATGCAATGCTTCTTAATTCCGGCTAGTATTTTAGAGATGGTGGAAAAATTATGTAGACGGTTTTTTTGGGGGCAAAAAGGGGAGGAGAAGAAGATTTGCTGGGATGCTTGGGAGAAAATATACTCCTCGAAGAATCAAGGGGATCTCGGATTTCGAAAATGAGGAATTTTAATAAGGCCCTTCTAGCGAAGCAAGCATGGCGTATTCTTTCTAATCAAGACTCTTTGATGGCCAAGGTTTTAAAAGGGAAGTATTTTCCTCACTCATCGTTCTTGGAGGCAAAAATTAACTTGAATTCGAGTTATACGTGGAGGTCCATTTTAGGGGCTCGTGAGGTTCTTCTCAAAGGCGTTAGAAAGAATGTAGGCGTTAGAAAGAATGTAGGGGATGGAGCTACTATCAAAGGCGTTAGAAAGAATGTAGGGAAGAGTTATATGGCGTGCTAAAATTCCACAAAAAATTAAACTTTTTGCGTGGAGGGCTATCAAGGATGTTGTGGCTGCCCGTAGTAATCTGGTTCGTCGAGGTATGGAGGTTGATGTGCGTTGTCCTATGTGTGGTGAATGTTGTGAGAGTACGCTGCACATGTTGGTGCATTGTGAAGATGCAAGGTTTATTTGGTACACTTCCCCTTTGCGTTTGGAGGTGGGAAATTATGTAGGGGATAGCTTTCGAGAGTGGTGCTGCTCGGTGAGAGTGAAGTACAAAGACCCGGGTTGGGGGTGTATTTTCTGGTGCATTGCTTGGGGAGTTTGGCTTCGTCGAAATAGATGGGCTTTTGATAGGAAAAGGCTTGATAAAATCAAAGTGATTCGCAAAGCTGTAGGTATGGTGGGTGAGTTCGAACACGCCAAAGAAGTATGCAATACTAATCCTTCTCCTCCAACATTTGAGTGTGTGTGGAAACCCCCCCTGGCTGGGATAATCAAAATCAATTCCGATGCTGCAGTTTTTTCTCCTAGTGGGGTGGGCTTGGAAGGTGTTATGCGTGACTCAGTCGGGGATGTGGTTGCTTCTACTTGTAGTAAAATTGATGGCTGTTTTGATGTGGATGTGGTGGAGGCCTTAGCGATGATGCGCCATTCGTTATATATTGCAATGGAGGCTGGGTTTAGGTGTGTTAGCTTGGAAACGGATTGCTTGAAGCTGCACAACCATCTTGTGAAAGGTTTGACTACCCCTACGACTTTTGGGGTGATTGTTAATGATATGTTGAAGCTTGCTCAATTGTGTCAGAGTTGCTGTTATTCTTTTGTGAAGAGAGGTGGGAACAAAGTTGCTCATGCCCTTGCTAAGTGTAGTATCAATTTTGTTGGCTTTCGTGTTTGGATGGAGAAATTTCCTCCTGATGTAACTGAATTTGTGGTGGCTGATTTGAGCCTCATGGTTTGATTTATAATAAGTGATTGCTTCCCGTCAAAAAAAAAATCTATTTATGAGCGTTTGGGATATGGGAATGGGAGTTTGGGGATTAAAATGTGGGAATGGGATTGAGAATTGATTGTTGGGAATATATAAAAACAATACTTTGTTTGGATTGTGGATGGGAATAGATGAGGAATAAATAACAAAAATACAAAACTACTCTTACTAATCTTTCTTCTCCATTCTTTTCATTAATGGCAAAAAAATCATTTTCCACTTATTCCCATTCCCACACATTTATTACCTACCCTTCCTAGGTAATAAATTGGTGGGAATTCACCCCATTTATTCCCAATCCCATTCCCTTTTTTATTCCCAATCTCCTTTAACAAACAAGAGATTTTTTTTTTAAATTTGAGATTAAAAATCCCATTCCCACCCTCAATTCCCATTTACACCCCCTTACAATAATGAAAAATTGATACTACATAATTTTTAGGAAATTTTCATTTTTGCTAGCAGTAAAAACACATGCATTTCATTTTTAATATCGAAAAAAAAATTATTTTATTTTATTACTCCCTCCGTCCCCGAAAAAACGACCCATTTAGCCTAATTTTAGTCCCAAAAAGAATAACCCATTTGTTTTTCTCAACATCTATTAAAATCACAAAATTACCAATATATCCTCAAATATTTTGTCATATAGCTCCTTCTTCCTATTTTACCCTTGTATTTTTTCAGATCTTTGTGTCATCTCCTCTCTAAATTTCTAAACTTTTTTTTTCTCTCCAGCCACCATTAATTTTTCTTGTGTTTTACCATACATTTGTACTTGTAAATTATTAATTACTTGTATTTTCCAATACATTTGTACTTGAAAATAAAGTTTCTTAATACCCGCAAAATCACCCCAAATGAATCGTTTTTTCGGAGACGGAGGGAGTACCATGTAAAAGCAAGTTTTTTAAAAATTGCTGTTATTTAACCCTTAGTAATTCCGTTAGTGAGATCCAGCCATCCTCGCTATCACCTTCTGACCACCACTCCCTCCTTAGCCACCCTAACTACCTCCACGTCAGCCACCAAAAAATAAAAATTAAATCAAATAGATAAATATAAAAAAAAAAATTAAAAAAAAAACCAACCTAATTCTATCTCTTCTCCTCTCCCCTCTTCTCATTATTTCTCCTCTAATCTCCTCATTCTCTTTCTCTCTCATCTCTGCCTACCTTCTCGCTCCTCTTTCTCGGTATCTTTTTTTTCTCCCTCCTCTTTCTCTTTTCTTTCCCTCTCTCCGTCCTCCTCTTCTCTCTCTGTCCTCCTCTCTCTCCCCAAGAAACACCAACATCAACCGCCCATGAAACCCCCTCCCCACGGCTTTATTTTGATCGAATTTAACCACGACACAACAAATTAATGGGTTTTTAGGTCGAATTCGACCATGAAAACTCCACATCTGGGGTTTTCATGGTCGACTTTAACCATATAAACCAAAAGTTGAAGATTTCATAAGATATGTGTTACCCTTTTGCATTAATTTATTATAATTTTTTTTAGGTAGTGGTGGTATGATATGGGGGTAGTGGTGTTGGTGGTGCGTGTGGTAGGTGTTGTGCGTGTGGTAGGTAGGTGGCGCTGGGTTTGTGGTGGTTGTGGCCAGCTTAGGCAGGTTTAGGGTTAGGGTGGGGATGATTTAGATCTGGACTTAGGTTAGTTTGGGGACGTAGATTAACTTGATTTCGCCAGCAATAAGAAGAAATTGGGGAAGGAGGGGGAGAGAGAATGGCGTGAAGGAGTTGGGCTTTGATTTCCGGTTCGGGAATTGTTATAGTATAGTTTTCTTGATATTGATTGGTTACTTGCTTAGTATTAATTTGAGTATGTTTAATTAGTTAGTCCTTAGTCTCTTGGGATTCCACCCGTACTTGCTCAACTACATAGTAGAGTTAGTTCGGTTATTTTTGTTAGGTACGCGACACGCTTATCACCTACTATGTCTAGATCCGACGTCACCGATGTTCTCTCTTTCTCACGCCTTTCCTCTTGTTCCTCTTCTCATGGTCTATTTCATTCAAATTGATAGTTTTTACGATCAAAATCAACCATGAAATCTTTAGATCTAGAGGTTTCATGGTCGAATTTGGCCGTATTAAACCAAATTCGATGAGAAATTAACATCTCATTTTCAGTTTTAAGGTAAGTTTTCTTTTTTTTTTTTTTTTTTTTTTGTTTCATGGTCGAAATTTTTTTTTTTTTTTTTTTGAAGTTGTGATTGTAGATCTGGGTTTGGTTTGGTTTAGGTTGTAATTTTTGATTTTGCCGTCGAAAAGGAGGAAGTCGTGGTGGTCGGTTAGGGTTGGGGGTGGTTGGGGATCTGGGTTTGTTTTGGTTGGTGGGTGGGTTTGTTTCGTTTATTTTTTATTTTATTTTTTCGGGTTATGGTTGGTGGGGTTGGGAGTGGGTCTGGTTCGATGGATCTTGTGTGGGTTAGCTGTCAGTCTAGTTCGCTGGGTGTGATGAGGGTTGGGTGTGGGTCTGGTGGAGTGAGGTGGGGGATGGTGGTGTGTGGTGAGAGCTGGTTTTGTGGTGGGGGATGGTGGATCGGGGTGGTAGTAGGCTTTTTTTTTTGTTTTTTTAAAGCAGTTTTCGACGGAATTTCCCTCGAAATTTTCCGACGGGATTGTGTCCGTCATATTCTGACGAATTTTTTCAGTGCCGGAAAATCCCTTCAGACGAAATAATTTCGTCGGAAATTCTGTCGGAAAAGTGTTTTCGTCGGAAGAGACCATTTTTCCTACCAACCCTTTTCCAACAACCCGTTCCGACAATTTAGGGTGTTTCTGACGGTTTCCGTTAGAAATGGGCTATTTTCTAGTTGTGAACAAAGGAGAGAAAAAGATTTTACAATTGATTCTTTAAAGTTTAGAATAATTGTTGTTGAAATTAATAGAACAAACTTCAAATAATTCTTACAAATGATTGAGTTTTTGAGAATCTAAACTAAGGGACAAGAAAACTACACACTAACTAAGTGAAAAAGACTAAGGGAGTTAAGAGAGAAGAAGATCCGTACAAATGAGCTCAAATGAGGTATTTATAAGACCTCCAAATAAAAAGGACATAGAAAACAATAATCGGCTCTACTACAGGCTTGCACGGAGAAAAATCGGCTTGCTTCTTTCTTCATTTTTGCTTCACTTCTTTTCCTCTTTGTTTAAAATTGCTTGCATACTTCTCGGGATGCTTTGTAGTGCATTCTTTGGACCTAAAATGTGATAAAAAAGTAAAAACAACCCCGAGAAGTACGTAATACACAAAAATGCATAAAAATAGAGTGAAAAATGAACTAAGGCATAGATTCCTCACATATTCAACGTTAAAAACCACTCTATGATCATACAAAATAGCAAGGTATCAGGCATCGCCCGGGCATAAAAACTAGCTACTTATTAAAAAGAGGGCAAAAGAAGTAAGAAACCCTAATTACACTATTAGTGATTTTGTTGCAAATTCATAAGAGAATATCACAAGTCCACAACCTCAATATCAATACTTTGAAGTTCATATATCTAGGTCCACAACTTCCTAATGAACATATAATCCACCATGCTTTTGATACATATAACAACATGTATTAGGACTTTTAAGAGGTGATGTGGTGATATTAGTTCAACTATGGAGGTCTTCTTAGCATCATATTTGCAAAAAAGAATATATTTCTTAGCAGTGGCGAAGGGAGAGGGAGTTGTCCCCCCATTGTCCCAAAAAAATAAAATTTTGATTTTCGCTAATTTGCTGTGTAAAAATTACAGTAATAAATAATATATTTATTAAACATACATTTATGTAATAGAATTGTAAACTTGGCCTAGTGGTAGTTGGGTGAGAATTAGGATATTCCCTCACTTGGACCCAGGTTCGATTCTTTATACTCTCATTATACCGTTTTTTTAAAAAATTCTTAATTTACTAAAACAAAAAGATATTACTCAGTATAATTCTTCAAGCCACAAACTTTACTCATTTAACTATTTTTATTTGATGGACATTTATCTATCTAATTATGTACTTCTTTGTTAATAGTGGTTACTAATTGAGGTCTTTTTAGCATCATATTTGCAAAAGAAATTTCTCTTTAGGAGTAAAAGACCTCTAGTTGTAAAAGACCTCTAGTTATAAAACTATTTTTGTGTGTTGAATTGTCTTTTTAGCATCATATTTGCAAAAGAAATTTCTCTTTATTAGCTCAACTATGGAGGTCTTTTTAGCATCATATTTGCAAAAGAGAACATATATTTTAAGTAATATCATAGAGTAAACTTAAGGCATTATCATAGAGTAATCCATATATTTAAGTAATAATACCAAGAAACATTTTTAAAAGTAATTCATTCATTAATTTTTCAAAAAGAAATGTCGTTTAACTACATATGAAACACATAATCCTGCTAGAAATAATTCATTTCTACAAATGTCAAGCAATGGAGTGTTGATAAAGTCTTCATTGTATTTACAACATAAGCATTTCAACATCACATCAAGCAAACAAAAACAAACAAGCAATAATCTATTCTTGTGTGGTTTGATGTAATATTAAAATGAACTTGTAGCACCCTAAGTTAACGGGACAAACCTCTTACCCAAAATATTATCTACTAGGTTTATAGTATGCCCAACCTATGGCTCTCCCACATCCGTGAAGTTCAAGGGGGAAAGATTCAAGTATGGGCATAACTAGCTTAAAAACGAACAAAGGCTTGTAATAACTTCCCTCACGTGTTTCGGTAGAATACCACGGATTACAATCGGTAGGAATACTTGCATCATGATGTGACAATCATGGGATTCCATACTTGTCAGCTTCAATTCTCCATTTAAGGTTACAAATATTTTCATGTTAGATGAGTACCCTGATGGAACCTTAATGTCGTACAGACATGCACAAAACATACGTTTCTCTACCCTCGACAATGTATAGCAAGCCGGGGGTAAATAATTCTTTTCATCCTTCCCTTTACCATTAA